CTATGTAGATACTGGGTGCGCAACACGGTGTATATGGGGCACGTCAGCAGGAAATGTTCAAGTGTTTCGTTTTCTTTCAGATTGCACACGGTACACAAGCACTCAGTATTAATCACATACGAACATCTATTTATATAGAACCGAATTTCTTTTAGGCCTGAAATTCTTAGTTGACTGACTAATCGCACTTTATTTATTGGGAGCTTAAACGTCATATACACTTCCATATTAGTTAAACTGCTAATATTACGGTAGATGGGGGAATATTTTGAACTTTCGCTTGGATCTACAATTTAGAATTTAGAGATATGAAAACAGATCGCTTCCAAGCAAACCGATTTCAATTTCGAGAAAATAATACGATTATGATGCACAGGAAAAAGTCAATGTTCCGCTGTGTTGATATTAATTTTGACCAATTTATTAACTAGGTTTTGTTGCGGGCCAAATGCGAGACATCCGTTTTTGAGAAAAGTAAAAAAACGGCAAAATGTTTATTTCCACAACTAATTAACGGCAAGAAAAGCGGTAAAATGTTAGTATAGTCCCCACCTATTTTTTTGAAGTTGTCTCGCTAAGTTGATGGATATCATGTACCTACTGCTGTGTAAAGAAAGTCTAAAGTGGACGGTTTTTCCAAATATACCGTAATAATGGACTAATGAAAAATACGAGATGAAAACGTCAGTACTTCTCTTCTAATGGAACTTTAATTTGTAAAATAAGTGTCAAAGTCCTTGGAGTTTTAACAACTCACCTCAGCTGTTACATGCACCATCGATTGAACCCTATGTCTGGGCTGCAATTTTGGTTCGGTGGTGGTCATAGCAATTTTGAATGTGTCGGTTAACTTCTTAGTTTGAGCGATTTCTATTTATCACAGTCATATTAGGGAACGACACCCTTGGGCCCTGTCTGTCCGTACTAGTCAGGGAGACATTTCTGAAAAAGGCTCTCTAAATCATGTCTAACGGCGTTTTGTGCTACAAACTGGCAACAGGCGGTTCTAGACTAATTTGCCCCCGCTGAAAACGATGCGCCCTGTTGCCAGACCCGATTTTGACATTTAAGCCCTTAAATCCAAGATGGCAGCGAAAATTGACGTTTTTTCGGTTATTTCGAGCCCACAAGGCAGCCACTCAACGTTTTGGGTAGTTTAAGGGTAGAATAACATCTAGTACACACGACGACACCGTTTAGGCACACTTTCGTATTCATATTAAGGGCCTAAATGCCTAAATTCCGCTTTAAAACGTCAATAATGCAAAAATTCATCATTTTTTTTTCTGACCGGTTGTCGGCGTCCAATATGCATTCCTATGGTCAAGTTAACATTTAAATATGTGGGAACCTCCAGCAGCGCCATATGCCTGGGGCCTAAATATCAAGGTGGCTTCTGGAAAGTCCAAAAACAGTGAAAAAGTCGTTCTTTTTGCCGTAGTTTTACTACACTAGCCACTCTTTACGTTCGCTGTTCATTTTGATGTTCTGGAAGATTATTATGAGTAATTGCGACTGCCACCCCGGACGTAATACACCCCCACGAGAGGGGGGTGGAATTATCATCTCCAACCGAAGGGATTCGCGAAACTATCAATGCATCTCGCGTGTTGTTGTGTGTTTTCGTCGGCGCCGCTCCTGAAGTTCGTCTGTTTCGCTTCGATGGCGTCTTCCACCTACGCCCGATATTTCATTTAATATTAAAAGTCAATTAATTTTACATCATGTAACTAAGATTACATTCAATGAAGATATTTTTTAATGTTATTGTTTAATTGTCATCGTTTTTTCCCCATGCTGCCTTTCAAATGTTGCATTGTGCAGCCAGAGTTGGACTGGGTCACTAAATTAAACTGGGTCACTGGGTCACGTCATACTCTTTTCAGTTAGACCCAGTTACCCAACTTGACCCAGTGACCCAGTTTGGCCCAGCGACCCAATTTCACCCGGGGACCCAATTCGACCCAGTCACCTAGTTTGATCGAATAACGCAGTTAAGTCAGTGCCCTCGGTTCAAGTGTACAGATTAAGAAATAAATGAAATGCTGGTTTGTTGAAAATAATACTCGATTGCTTGACAACTGCCATTTCTGTGATGTTTGCTTTAATACTGCCGTAAAAAACTTTCCATGTTCCGAATTGTATTAGAATAATGTTATTTCTTTGCTTCAGGACTTACCAGTTTGCTTACAGGTGTTCAGTCACATTTAATTTTTTTCTACTAGTTAGCTTAATCCAAATAAATCTTTTCTAGAGAAGTATTTAGAAATACTTTCATTGACTACTTGACTACAAACTATAAACAAATGCATTTGATTTGTTTAGGTATTAGTTCTCTTGAATGAAATTGGGCTACGTGCTTGTTGCCGAATATTATTGAGGAAGTTTTTTTTTAAATTAAAAGTTACTTGAAATTGTTTTGGATGATACCTAACAATAATTTAATTACTGGGCCACCGGGTGAAGACGGGTCACTGAGTAAAGCTGGGTCATTGGGTCAAGCTGGGTCACCGGGTCAAGCTGGGTCACTGGGTCAAGCTGGGTCACCGGGTCAAACTGGGTCACCGGGTCAGTAAACTAACTGGGTCACTATAATACAGCTAACCTAACCTAACGATCCATTGTCTATGTGGGTCACTCTATGCTTGACCCAGTCCAACTCTGTTGTGTACTTCTAAAATATTTTAACAAGTTTTATTCTGTAATTTCCTTAAGCCATAAGATGACCGTTGGTCGAAACTAGTCGCGGCTTTTACAATTTGTCTATTAAAATCGAGATTAAAATAGTATGGGGAAGGTTTTGTGTCTTTTTGGGATTTAACCTGGAATTTCTAACATTTACATTAACATCAAGCTCGTTCATACTAATCTAACATGATATCACATTACATTCTAACGCATGAAGATGCTCTATTCAAATGTTAGGTCACATCTCTCTATTGATCGTAGAATGGTGCCCATGTCTTCTTTCGCGGTGGTGACTTCCATTTGACTGTTTCAGTTTTCCCTAGGCCATGCAGCACGAATCATCCTCTGGTGGTGATTTTAACAGTGCCTAGTCTATGTGTAATATGCCAAAAACAATCCAGAGAGAAAACGTGAGTGCTTCAAGAGACAACGTTTAACTCTGTAACGTTCTTATTCTTGCATAATACCTTCTTCATAGTGCTCAATATTCTAAACAGTTTCGACTGCCATGTGTTACGTTTTAATTTAAAAAAATCAAAGAAAACTTGGGAAGCATGTTTTAATATATTTGCCCTCAAATTACGCCGCCAAACCAACTTCTGCCTCTTGGTTCCATAGTTAAAGTTTCCCCACTTCTGCAGTTAAGCCCTTCAGTTGTTTAACATCCAGAATGATACTCGCAATTGGGATATTATTGCTCCAGGCCATCGAAATGAGGAATGTGTGACCAGTGTAGTAAAAATACGGCAAAAAGAACGACTTTTTCACTGTTTCTTGGACTTTCCAGACGCCATCTTGATATTTAGGTCCCAGGCATATGGCGCTGCTGGAGGTCCCCACATACTTAAATGTTAACTTTACCATATGAATGCATATTGGACGCCGATAACCGGTCAGAAAAAAATGACGAATTTTTGCATTTTTGATGTTTTTAAACGGAGTTTTGGCATTTAGGCCCCTAATATGAATACGAAAGTGTGCCTAAACGACGTTGACGTGTGTACTAGATGATATTCTACCCTTAAACTACCACAAAACGTTCAGTGGCTTGCCTTGTGGGCTCGAAATAACCGAAAAAAGGTAATTTCGGCCGCGATCTTGGATTTAAGGCTTAAATGCTAAAATCGGGTCTGGCAACAGGGCGCATCGTTTTCAGCCGGGGCCAATTCGTCTAGCACTGCCCGTTGCCAGTTTGTAGCACAAAACGCCGTTAGACATGCACTTTTCAGAAATGTCTCCCTGACTATACCTATTTCTAAACTGTATCTACCATCTTGAATTTTGAGTACCTATAGGGAAATAAAACAGACAGGGAGATTGATTCAAATTAAGCAGGGCTTTTTAGTCCAAACCCTGAAAGGCGAATTTTAAAAAAGAACTTGTTACTTTTATTAATAATGGCTCATCAGTCATCTTCCAATTGTCTTAATTAAAATATATTTAATTAGATACCGGCTACAAAATTCGTGACCATGTTAGCCAATGTTCTCTGCCATACTTTCTATACAGTCAGACACGCAATATGCAGCTACTGTAGTGGAAGACCAAGACGAATGCACAGTTATTTAAAACAGTGACCGCTATCGGAAGAAAATATATGTGTTACAGTTTAAATAAGAAGTTCAATCGTGGCCTTTACTGTCCAACCTTGATATTTCAATCGTGCTGCACAATTACACGTGCGCGCAGAATGTGATTGCTCCATATAACTTAAGATTATTATATAAAGGCGGAATTCATAGTTGAGCAAACACAAAAAAGAAATCGATTATTTTGCAAAAAAAAAGAAACTTACATACAATTGACCCTATTATAGGCTGCAGCGTGTAGACGTTAACCCGGATACCTACGACACATAACGTAAAAGGTAACCCAAGGGTGGACTTCTACGCCCCATAAAATAAAATTCGCCATGACGTGACAGCACTTAAAGATTTCATGGCAAGTTGGATACCTACCCAAGTATCGGTTTTTTGCACAAAGTGAAATGACGGGGTCATTTCAAATTTAGTGGTTTAGGCTCAATCCTTTCATCATAATTATATTACTACATACTTAAGGTGTAACGCCATCGCAATCAAGGATATTTCTGCATAACAAATTCATTTTACCTGATCGTTATGGGAATTATTTCTCAAATTGCATATTTCCTCTTTGCCTCTTAGTTCGCACAGAAGTAAATGTCTAAACAGTCATGGGAAGCTGACCAACGCAAAACCTATGCACATCAGGCACTGAAGTGTTCGATCAGTTACAGAAGTAGGAAGCGATAATGCAAATTCGTTGCATGATTTCAGTAGCTAATTTAATACAATCAAAAGTGCAAAATAGTAGTGTAGCATAGCTACCATTTTCATAAAAAAATGGTATATGAAATGAATTAGAATAATTGAGTAAGGTCATAGTATTATTAAACACAAGAGGAAGGATAGCCTCACCTAACACAGGTATTTCATTTTCACTTTTTATCATGTACAACCCATTTTCACACAAAACGAATATTTGCCATGGCAATGAAGTGGAAACCTTGAGATCAATGTGACAGAAAGTAAATCAATCGGAATTAAATTTAGCACTTGCCTATACAGACAATGCACCGTTTTAATGAAATACCTCAAAAGTTGTTTTCCTTTAAGTGTGGGTTCAATGTAAAAATTTATATCGCTATTGAAACGGGGTGTGGTGTAGGTATATAAAGAATTATTTTATATCTATTGTTATTGTAAGATTGTACACCTAACACAACATGTTTGTAAAACTGGTAAGTGCATTTTGGGGATCATTTGCTCGGGATTAATTTTGCTTCTTTAGGCATTGTTCTCCTGCTTCGTAGCTGCCGCTTTGGCAGTCTACAACGGTCCCCTGGCTGGAGGAGTCCCCGCTTCCCTGTACCCGGCTGGAATTAGCCCGCACGCCTGCCCCAACTACCCTCATTGCTCAAACCCATCGGTCGCCGCTAACCCCAACGCCCCAGCTCCACCAGCCGCCTACGCACCACAACCCCACTATGGACAATACAACGCAGCACCCGCTTACCACGGCGGCTACGACCAAAACGCTTTGAACAGTGGAGTGTACACCGGTGACGGCGATTACCACGGAGAAGGTTTGGCAGAATCTGGCGCTTTCGGCGATGTTAGCCAAGGTAACCACCTGAAACCCTTCGTTACAACCTGACTAAACAGATTTTACAGGCTACAACACTGCTCCAGCATACAACCCGGCACCCGCACCAGCCCACTATGCCGCACCGGCCCACTATGCCGCACCCGCCGCCACCCTTCCAGCTGGTGTAAGCGCGCACAGTTGTCCGAACTACCCATACTGCCACTAATAGTCCAAATTGACATGAAACAGCCAGCTGACAAACTGTTGTTGTTGCCTCCTGTGAATATGTGATGTACAATTCTTAAGCTGTGTACTATATGTTCCAATATGTAAAAAATTATTTAAAATTTAAATAAACCAATTTGTAAATACATTACCGACATTGCTTTGAAATAAAGTCTATAATTTATTCTTATTTGCTGTTGCTTCAAGTGTGCGGATCTGGGTACAAACTCAAAATAGCAGCTCATCTCCATGAAGGAAAAAAAATAGATGTAAATCTACTCGGCGCGTGCCCTAATTTTAACTGTTTTATTCAATTTGCCCTAAATTTGAATGAAATTTAATCTCACCTCTTACCCTATGAGCCTGAACAGATGCTCCGATTTTCTTTTTTTTGTTGTGACTTCTCGAACTATATTGAAGCAAATGACTTACAAGGGCAACCCTACAAACTATTAACAATTTTCTGTAGTTTGGCCAACAATTATACCTACAATGTAAAACAGAAATAACACAATTATTTTTAAAAAAGATACACTAACGTCGGAATTTCTCTGATTCTTCTTGAAGTTCCTCTGATTTCTTCACAGTTATACTTCCGTGAAAGTTCCCTTGATTTCATCACATTTCCTCGCGACTTCTAAATAGGTACTCAGACACTTTCAAAAATTAACGCGTATAAGCGAACGCAATTCGGTTTCGAAGCAAATACTTACATTTTTACCGGTCAATGAGCCCCTTTCAGCCAAAATGGTAAGTATTCCACTTCCTATTATATAGCGGAAGCTAACTCATACTGCAGTATTATCGAGCTCTTTTATCTTTTATGATTTTGGACTTTCCGTCCGTCCGTCTATGTACACAATGGTAACCCACGAACGGTCAAATTTTCCAATGCTGTTTTCAGTACAAAGGTAGAAAATGGTGAAGGGACTAAGTGATTACATTTTGGTCCATACTCGTCAACCGGAAGTGACCTTGCCGCTCGTTATTGTCTACAGGGTGTCTTAAATTGAAACTATATTTATTATTATTATCCTTACGGTTAAATGTGCAAAGTTGAGAAGTTTTTGAGGCTGACAGATATTCCGCTGCGATATTTTGAAAAACAAATCGTTTCGTATATAATTGAAAAAGTGAAAAATTTTTAAAAAGTTTCAAATAACAGTTCCCATTACTATTATGACCACTTTCACCGTCCGTTCGTCCGAGGCGTTAACTACTCCTACAGCTTTCAATATATTTCATTCTAGTTGCCTTCGGTCGCTTATAGCTCTGGCCCCCCCCCCCCCCAACACAAAAAATAGTGAGAATCAAAAGTTATTACATTGAAGGCGGTAGGTATTTCGTATATGTATACATAAAGCTTTCGCTGTTACCGGCACGGCGGCTGACTATGATACCCTTATTTCAACCCCTTGGACGGCAGTACACCTGGGTATTTTTATTGATTATTTATTCTCAAACTATCGTTAGCCATCTACGAAAATTTGATCGTGATAGTATGTGCCGTTTTGGAGATATGATGAGAGGGTGGCTTCTTCAACCCTTATTGACTCGTATTTCTGCTTGATGAGAGGGTTTTCTATTTAATTGTAAATAGAATTGTTTTAGTATTTAGAGCAAAATTAATAAAAGCAAACAAAATTAAGTGGCATGGTCTATTTTCGCTTCGGGTATGTTTGGAAATTTCGGCCGCTCGTTTCACACCAGTCGAGGAGCATGAGACAATAATAGTAGGAAAAGAATTTAATAAAAAGAGATACTCAAGAAGAAATCCTGAGAACGTGAAGAGAATTTGAGAGAAAATTTAGAAAGACTTTGGGAGAACTTGAGAAGAATTTTATAGGAGCTCAACATAAACTTTGCTTGACGAGGAATTAATTCATTAATAATAATTAATATACTTAATATAATGGGAAGCGACCTATACTGAATTATTCTTATCTAAAAAGCATGAGGTACAAGATCAACTGCGTTCCCCAAATTGATGCCAAATATGGTTTTAAAGTCTTTCAATATTTTGGAGAGGTAGTTAATATGTGCTTAAGGATATACTGTACCATGTGTCCTATTTTGGTTGCGACTGCAGTGTATCTCCGTGCGACGCTTTGTCACTTTTTTGTGAAACTTGCAATATCACAAACAGAATCAGTCTAGCTATATCAGGAGCTATATAGATATAGGGTGAAAATGAAAAGTTTGACTTTTTGAAATGTTATCATATCTTATCTACCCACAAGCAAGAAAAAGGCTATAAATGACTATTTTAAATATTTTTACGCGGACTCCAGTAGTGCAATAAAAAAAAATTTGGACCAGCGTTTCTTAGATTTGATCCAAAGTTTCGTTTTTTTAACTGCAACACTCTGTATATACTTGTCATATTTTTCACATTTTCAAATGAAATTATATATTTCTACTATGAGCATGTTTATTGAATGGTATTGGCTGTACCTATGGGTAAACGTACCTATATAAAATATATACTGAACAAGATTATTTACAATAACATAAAGCATGTTTTATCCATCAAAAAGTATTCCCAAACTTCTTGTTTTCCGTTGCCATGGTCTCCTTTTCAGCGCTCTCTATTTAAATTTCCATGTCGCCACAACTGCCTTATTACTTACCATGGATAAATAACAAAACAATATCCCCAATGATCCATTATGGCCTACTATTTAAAAACCGTAACAATGTTTATATTTTTGATTCACGACTAAAGAAATATAGGTTGTGATAAATCAGTGTAATCAGCAAAGATAATGCAAAAAACACCTTAAAATATACAGGGTGTCGCATTTAAACAATACCAACATTAGGTCAAATTTCAGAAAAGGTGGCCCAAAAAAATTGTTTTGACTACGCCATTGGATTCTACATAAAAATAAGCATTTTTTACCTCTTTTCTATCTCACACGGGTAGTAAGATAGCATCCAAAAAAGTCAAACTTTCACCCTGTATCTCAACAACATCTAGCTAGATTGATTCTGTTGGTGGTATTTAAAATTCCACAAAAGTAGCACAAGGTCTTTAATCTTTAAAAACAGCTGCAGAAATACACTGCAGTCTCAACCAAAATGGGACACACTGTACATTGGTGTGTTAAAAACTTTTTCTTCAAATTAGTATCATCAGTATTTATCGGGCCGAGAAAATCGTTTAAAAATCAATTCTGAATGCCACAAAAATTAGATGGTAAAGGGAAATTTAGTCTCGGGGAATCTTTTGAGCATTTTTATAAATACACAAAAAGTGTATCCACCCAATTTTCCCATTTTTTTCGTACAACTAAGACCTGCAGTTTGAATTTTTTCAAACCTTTGTTATATTGAATGCCATAGATACCAAATTTCGTCGAAATCAAAATTTTTTCCCACCTTTTTAAGATATACCCTCTGGGGGTAGCAATTTTGGAAACACCTAAGAAAAGCAGGAAGTTCCACTCTACTATAGTTCCTAAAAAAAAGTTAAGCAGAAAATCAAGTTTTGGAAGAATAGCTAAAATGTTTTTCAAGTTAAAAACATTACAAAACTACTTCAAATTGTAAAACAGGAAACATTTGGAAATGTTTCCAAAAATATACTTTTAGACATTTTCCTAAATATTCTCAAATTTCAATAAAATTCCAAAGAAATGAGGACGATTATGAGGAATGTTAAGATTTTAAAAATCCTGAGGATTCTGAAGGTTCTATTATGAAGATACTGTTGAAGTTACCTGAAGGGTAGACAGTGGAATTTATTTGGACCATTGCAATGGTGCTCGAACTAGTTACCACTACTTCGAACTATTGTACAACTATACAATTTGGATTGGGCTACTTGAATCTATCACTTAGGGGCTGGGACCACTCCTATCCTCCCCAGGTTTTTTTCCCCCATTTTCTTTCATGAATTACGCGTACATTTTAATAATCGCCCTGTCCTATGTCCTCTACTTCTTTGAGAAGAAGTCGATTATTGAACCTAAAAAAGTTAATACAAATACAAGAAAATTATAATTGATTAGATTTTTATTATTTATCGCATCGTTAGCTAACTTTCTTTACAGATTGTACTAAACCATTTCCTAGAATTGCAAAATCTTCGATTATCGCTTCTTCGTTTAATACCAAATGTTTCTTATGTACCTTTCTTCCCTCTATGTTTGACACCTACAAAATAACGGTTAACTGTAGCTGCCTTTTTCAAAGCGACCCACCTTAAACGGTTTACTTTCAAATATATGCGGTTTCCATAATACCCCAATCACGTTGCCACCGTAAGAATTATGAAAAAACAACGCGTAACTGCCATAGTAGTGCTGTAAAAGCAAAAATTTTAATACCGTCCGAAGATATGTTGGCTCTCACCCTTAATTCCTTTAAGTAATTTTCGACGGGACTAAAATTTACAATGGGAATTTTTTCGGGCAGCGCATCTTGCTTGATCACTACATTTTGACTACGTTTCGCATTCAGAAAATTGTGTAAACGGATTATGGCATTGTAACCCTGAAGATTCGGTACAAATAGTTCGTCTACGACTAAATTCGATTCGGAAATTCCTCGCTGAACAATGGCGCAGGTGCAGTTAGCTAGGGTTGCAAGTCGATTTAATATTTCCACGGTGCAATTTCTCGAAGACACGAACTTATCGTAGTCATAAGATGTTAGTATGGCTAAGGGGGGGAATTTGTCACGTTCCTGTTGAAATTTAGACTGGTGTTCATCGACACTCTCTTCTACGAATATTATTTGTAAACTCAGAGAGAGAGAAATGCTACTTACTTGTTAATTCGCCATTGAAATTGACAATTATTAATTGCAGCTGCCAATTGCAATGGGCTACGAACTTTAAAAATCGTAGAAAGCCGACCTGAGGTAAACTGGCGTTATTGTACGGAGCACTGTTGATAAATAGATAGGCATTAAGCAAGTCGATTACGATGTCCGGTATGTGATCTTCGTCGATCATTTGCGCACGCACCCATTGCTTAATCAAGCACGAGGTCGGACCAAAACATGGGTATTGGGAGTGAACTCTAAAGCGTGACAAATTTGTGTGGAGGATTTAAATTAATTTCCACTTACCCGTGCAACGCCCCCACAATTTGGGGAATAATATGTAGCTTATATTCCAAAGCTACACTTTCCGATGTATCTTTAAAAGCAACGGTTCCATCTTCTTGGGTATACTTTCTTAGTTCCGTAATCTCTCTAGGATTGTGTATATACAATCGAAACACAAACCCTTTGTATAAGACATCTAGACAATCTCGATGTACGCTCGACACAATTTTTTTCGACTCCAAGTACTTAGACAACTCGATGTAGAAACCTAACTGTATGTATCGTAATGCTTGTAGGTTCTGGGGCCATTTGGAATTCATTCCTGAGAATCGCTAGATAATTTTATAACTCATCGGAATTCGTATGTTACCTAGTTGAATTACGCATTCTACAGCTTCAACGTATCTAGGCACAGCATCATATTTTGAAGAGTCTTTGAACACTGTGTTGTTGTTTTTATGTATTGTAATGCCCTTCTTCAAATTGTCAAGGCATGGAGTGGGAGGATATAGTGAGGTGTAACTGTAAACAAAAATTATTTATTGCTGGCTTCTATTATTATTCACTGTATGGTGTGCTTGTGTACATACTTTCCGAAATGCTCCCTCTAAATTAACAGTAAGAACCCACTTGCATAAAAGTGAACCTTCTTGGAACTGGCACAACATTTTAAAATTAATTTTTAATTTACCCACGGCTAGCTCAGTAATAAACAAGGATTAGCTCTATATCTCTTCTTAAAATCGGAAATTCAAAATTTAATGCTCTGGTTTGATTGAACTTGAATAAATACGCATGAGACTTTAGTTGACTAAATATATTAATAACAACAAGGGCGATCAATTACCATTTTTCTTTACACGCCTCAATACGTTACATATATTGGTATGGTTCATGGAGAAAGACAAAAAAAATGCAATACCTATCTCGTGATCACGTGCCCAAAATTTTAATCCAACAAAAGGAATGGCATCCAATGAATGAAACAAAAAAACCAAAAATCCTTCAGTTTCGATTCTTATCGAATAATACAAAATCTGTTTCATGCAAATGATTCTCGCGGGTCGATTCCTTTAGGAATATCAAAATTACATCAAGCAAATTTAATACGCAAATTCCAAAAAATTACCAATCACTACTTTATCCAAATCAAAATTTAAAATGAACGAACCTGGTGCTGGTAACAATTAATCTTATCTCTTCTTAGAAAATGCCGCTTCAATGGTACAGTTGACTTTTTGCACCACCCTGGTAACAGTATCTGCGTCATGAATGCAAAGTTTAATGGAAGAAAAGTCCGTACGAATCGCGAATCCAAGCAAACCGGCTTCAATTTCGTGAAGATAAATCTCGAGATCGGTACTATGCAAAGAAATAAAATGCCAATGCTCTGCTGTGCTGATATTAATTTTGCCCAATTTATTAATTGGTAAAAGGTAAACTGCACCGCTTAATTATCTTTAAATTCACTGCCGTATGCCGTTTTATACAAAATCTTATTTATCGCACCGGGCGTTAACGTCCAACTCAACTCAACGTGGAGGAACTCTACTATTCGGATAGATTTCACTCACTAATTGCCCGTTCCAGTTCCCGAATCCCAAGCGCAATTTCTCACAAATACACGGAGATATTTCTCGCAACATTGCTACAAATGTCAACCGCGAATCGCTTCTTTTATACGGCGGTATTTGTACGTGGTCACTTTTGAAGTTAAACTAAAACCTTCAGTTTTAGTTGAAACAATTCAAGAATAATAATAATTTGCGTACCCGAATAGTACTTGTAGATTCGAGAATTCTCGCTTTCCCATTTCTCTCGCTATATTTTAATCTCGTCCGCTAGAGAAACCGAAACGAGTTTCCTTTTCTGAACGCAACGACCTGGAGTGCCCCAAAAACCAATAGGAAACACAATGGAATGAACGCAACTTTTACGTCAGAAGAAATCGTGACAACCGCCCCCGCTTTCCCCAATACGTTTCTTGTTATCGCTAGACATACTTTTGTTCACATTCGCTATGAAGCGGTATATGTGTAAATTTTCCTACATTGAACAAAATACAATTAAAAACCAATTTTTTCAAACGGCAAAACTGCCACCTGCATTAGATGCTTTCGATGTTGTAGATCATTACATGATTATCGCAATATTGCGAAAATGTCAAGCATTTTAACGCAGAACCAACATTTGGTGGAAAATTTCGAACATCTTATTAAATGCCCTTAGCACCAAATTTGTAAATTCAGTGTTAAGGAATACTAACATTTGTGGAAGAGTCACAAAATACTCTTGTAGAGGTACCTACATAAAAGCCTTTTGGCTGCTCTGAAATCAAGAGTAAATGCGGGAGAGGGGGTATTTATGAATAAGCACCAGAATTAGTTTATTTCATTTGAGTTTGTATCTGTAGTGTTATTTTTCCTATTAAAATTCTTTGTAATTGCGTAATTGTTTATAAAAATCTGTTAATTTAATTGTAAAATGTGAAGAGATTTTGTTATTGGACGAGATTTACAAAGCTGGTGTTGTCAAAGCTAATTATGATTGACGTTTTATTTGTAAAAACCGGAAGGATATTTTATTATGGAAGTGGTGTTTCGTTAAATACTGCAAGCAGGGGCTGGTTCGTAACGGTTGAAAAACTGCTGAGGTTCTCTTGTTGTTGATCAAGAAGTTTTTATTAAAGTGTGACCTTGAAAAAAGAAAGCTCCAGTCTCTTCTCTTCTTCCACTCCATCTCTAACATTAGAGTTCTTATTTTTATTTTAAACTAGGACCTATCTAACTGCGCTAATGTGAAATGTACGGAACCTCAAAGAACACATTATACTCACCAAAAAGTCTGTGATATGCCTTTCACATTAGTAACAACCAGGGGTAACTTCGCATCACGCAATTCCTTAGATATTTCGTCGAACACCCGTATTACATCCAAGCTTTTTTCTTCGCACGATCCCAACGTTAACGAATTGACGTCTCTGATCGATATCATATCCTCAAATTGATTCGCGACAATGTAATGTTTTTCCACTTTTAGCTCTTGCGTCACGACGAAATTTAAAATATTTTGAAATATGCGCCGTTTCTCCTGCACGTTATCGGCGGGAAAGTACACCGCCTCGCAAATGGCGCCATCTACGAATCTCCTGATCTCCGCCAATTTCCCCCAGAACGTTTTGAACTCGTGAGCTTCGGGCGTATTCGCCTCGGGACCCTTTTCAATCAGCGAAAAGGCATGGGTGGAATCCAACGTGATGCCGAATGTGATTTCTGTCAGGCCTCCTCGGTCGGTTTCTTTGCAGGAAAGTGGTACAATGTGCAAGACCCGCTTGTTTAACCCTTTATGTAGGAGTTTTAGAAGTGTTTTAACTATAATATATGATGAAAATCCAACGCAGCGCGACTGTTCACCGATACTCGCCAGATCGTAGACGTTCTTAAAATACTCGCTGTCTTGCAAGCTGAAATTATTTCTAATTATCATCATAGTTTGGATGTTCAGATGCGGTATAGAATCGAATAGTGTGAGACAACTTCCATGTCCGTTTTAGAAAGTAAATTTCTAAGGAGAAGAAATCAATAATAGCGCAAGATCTATTTACTGGAAATGGCCAGTTGAAAATGGGGGCGTTCCGGAAGCTCATAAGAAAGTCCAGAGAAACATAAAAAAAAAACGGTTTACAGCATCTTTTGCAGTTTCCTGTTGATCCAGTGCTTGAATTGTAAAATATAAGGCTCCGGTACGCCACAACGGTATGAAATATGAAAAAATAGACTAGAACTTTGAAATTATGCATTTTTAGCTTAATAGTCCAGTCGACAGGTTGGAACTAATGCCATTTATGAAATTAAGGAAGAAAGACCATGAATTGTGGAGGCAGCCGGAAAAATAATATTGGAAGACATCCACTCCATTATAGTATTCAATACAGTTGAGTATCCTCCGATGGATAACTTCTTGGGTGGTTGCAGAGACACTGCTTCTTCTATTTTACATCTTGATTTGGAGCAACAAACAAGGAATCTTGACTCTTGGAAAAAGAAATACCTCGCTCCGGCTCATACAATCGTGATAGCAGTGCGCCCCAAATCTTTTCTATCCTGTATTGTAACTGCTGTTCCCGTGTTTATTTACAAGAAGTTTGGATGGTAGCATAGAAGTGAAGCAGTATATAAGGAAGCCAACGTGATGATCGTCAACGTTGCCATATCCAATGCCAGCGGATTCTACAGTGTCATCATTACCGCTGAAGATGTAGACATACCTACTTATTGTTGATAGTCCCATACAAGGTCAGCCTTTGCCCATATGTTTACCAAGTGCAGTACATTTTTTTTAAATCTTGATATGTCAAGTGATATGTAAACAAACACGGTGCAAATGGGCTACCTAAAAAAAGTCGAGTGTAAGGGTAGTTTTGACTTTTTTGGAAAACCCATTTGCAATGTGTTTGTTTTCATATAAGTTGTTTGAATTTTTCATGGTATTTTAATAAAAGATCTCAACAAAAGGAATTGTTTTCTACCAACTACCACCCTTCTTACTTACCCCTTATCAAAATAGAGGGTGGGGAGGCGGAACTGGTTTTATCCTTCATGGTACTCTAATGAGAAGACACAACAAAAGGAATTAATTTCTACCAACCATAGTCCTCCTCCTCGACCCCTTATCGTAATCGGATATAATTCCTTATATCTCACGAGAGGATGGTCGGATGAAGCCACTTACAAAGGGTGATTGGGACGTATGGAATAAATTTACCCATTGGTTATGTCAAAACTTGCAGTGCGAATATCTCGAGAATGGAATCTCGGAGAAGAGTACTTACAAAGGGCTATTGAAACATCTGGACTTGGGCGTAACAGAAGAATAAGGTATAATTCTGCATTTTTTTGCGAATTTTAAAAAATGACCATTTTCCGTTAACAAATTAACATAAAAAATGTTTGAATAGTCAACATTGTAAGAAACGTAACGCTGTATAAAAAAATATATGTTATACTCTATCCATTTTAAGAAGGTAGCGATAGAAAGCATAGGGAAGCTTTGACCTTGACTGTGATTGGTTAAAACACAAGTCAGCATTACGCTGAACAATAAATCAAGTGACGAATTTTTTATATTTTTCCTGTGTGTGCTTATCTTCAAACACAGCGCCATCTACCACCTTCTATTGTAATGAATGCAGTATAGGTGCTTTTGCCGTAGGGCGAAATGGAAGAAATGGTTTTCGCCTTAAGCGAGTAACTTTCCAGTTTTCATGAATTGATTAGTACTTCCCGAAAGTCTAGTAACAGACTATTTATGAGTACAAAGGAAAATAAATATTCTTATAAGTAAGAAACGTAGCATTGTACGCGCATACCTGATGTTTACAATATGCGATATGTATGCCTTTACTAGAAGCATCTGTGGTTAAAATTACACAAAAATATCTCTATAAATAAGAAAGTTGATATTGCGCAATCGGCGCATGCGCATATTAATCTTGAAGATTTTTCTTTGTTGAGTTGCCAGAGCTATAAGCTACCAAATGCAAAAAGAACAAACTAAATATCTTGAAAACTGTAGAAATAGTTAAGGCTTCGGACGGACGGAAGTGGCCATAATAGCAACTTCCAACATGAGTTGGCAATTTGCCCGCGACCTCTTTTCAGATTGTGTCATAGGATCCTTGAGGTCCTTGAGAAAATGATAATTAACCATCCCTGAACAACATCCCAAAGTTTCATTACCCTCAAACCTTTTTCTACCTCCAAATAATTTCCCCTGTGGTAGTCGTCTCACTATTCTCATCTTTACCCTACTACCTAGCTATATAACTTACATCAGTAGAGCATCATATTGCAGCTCCGGGCTCATTTTGTTCATAAATAAATCGCCAAATGAGTCGAACGTGATGTTATCAAGAAACGAAACAGCCAACTGAGCTTCGCTTCTAATTTTCATATAAACATCATAATGTAGAAATGCGGCCAAATTATAATTTCCACTACTGTCTACGAACACCACATCATACTCCGCCCGAAAGTCCTCGAACTGCACATTCTCACACATACTAATCGGGTTCTCGTGCCAATTAGTCGTGCTGAGAAACACCCAGAAGATTCTCACAACCTGATACGAACTCATGTGCTTATTCAGTTTGCGCTGCAACGTTAAATACAGGATGGTTTGCGTGAGCAAAGTGTGAGAAAAACCAAATGTGTTGTCGTACAGGTTTCGCTGTTGAAGCCAAATCGCCAACAGTTTTATAGCATCTTGTACGTTGTTGAAACTGTCCAAAGTACGTGCGAGTAACTCATTATTTTCCCAGAGAGTTAGGTCGTGCAGCAAGCGCGCGTTATAAAATGCTGTTGTCGAATCCTTCAAAGCGGCTGCATCAAACTGATATGGAGTCTCAAACAGATTTTGCCTAATATTGTTTACGTTTGGCAAAAAACGGGTCGTCTTAAAATAGTCTCGAGGTGGAAGCACGTGCAGGTGCACTACAATTTTTTCAGAAAAATTCGGGATCATTTCTATGAATGCCTCGGAACACTTAATTTCCGAAGAGATCTCAGATTTTTTAATGTTTAAGTACAGGTACGTCGCATAGTAAGATTGCTTCACCTTGAAACGGTTGTTCAAATAGTCCCCTTTAAGTAGGCAAGCGTCAGGGATGTGGATTGCGATGTCAACTTTAAATTTTGAACCGGAAATCGGACAAAAGTTTGGCAGACCAAACACAGAGCAGGATTGTGGTTTTTTCAATTTGATCAATAAATCTTGATCAGCTTTAGCACTGCAGTTATGAGTACTTCTTAAATTATTGAGGAATTTTTTTTTCTGCTTATTGTTCAAATCGCTAGTCGTTATTTCATACTCACGCAGACTTTCTAGTACTTCTTTAAGACCGCCGAACCACTCGCAAAACAATCTCTTATACTTCTCTTTCATTTTAACTTCATCGAGTAACTGATCAATTTGTAACCTGAACAAATTCGAGTTGAATAACTGTTCGGTTTCTCGTAATCGACTCATTTCTTCTGCGGTCGGTTGCCTATACAGTTTTGATGGCAATTTCTCTACCTTGAGCTTCTTACTTTGACCTTCCTGGGTAGTGTCTTGTTTTCGTTTTTTGTCCTGCGTGTCTTCCTCCGAATTGGATTCATATTCGTCCGATTGAACCTCTTCGTCTCGCGAATTGCTCTGGAAATTTAACTAGAAAGTTAAAAAGAAGAATTATAAATTGTTTACCTCATCGTTACTCTCCATCTTAAATCAAATTGTTCTGTTTCCTATCTCTTAAAGTGATAAAAACTTCCCTTTTAAGTCTTTTAGTAAAAAAATACAAACATAACCTATAAAAAACACGTTGTAAAACATAAGACGTTGCCACTATTGCCAGATCATACCTTTGTTTATTCATATACAGAGTGCGCCATAAGTACCGGAACGACCAGATATTTCAATTTTCAATGAACCATTTTTTCAAATTAGAGTAAAAAGAATTCTTTTGCTTTAATGACAACCCACAATTTTTTTTACTTTAACTGTAATGAACCTTGTATTGCTTGTATTTACTTTGTAATCTTTGGTTACTATAAACGTACTGGTTTTTATTGTGTATTTAGAACTAAAAACAATATACTAGGTGTGCTATTTCAAACAAATTTGACAAAATCGGTTCACAGAACATCAATTAATTTTACAAGCATAAATTCGGGTAAATTAATAATTACACGTTGCGTTGTACTTATTTAAAGTTAAACTGTTTAAAAATGATTATTTGTTAGGAAATCAAAAAATGATTGTCGAAAGTGTGTTAGGAGAACAAAAGACGATTAATTTCTCGTCTAAACAGGTCAAGTCTAAGTGTTAAATAAGAAAGCACATTATCAGAAAACAGAGCCCTTTTGTAACAAAGCAAGCAGTTGATTCCACCTCTAGATACAGTTATATATCTAAACCGGCCACGTCCTACGTTTTTACGAATGACTTTCGTGTCTAAGTTAATTATTTTTGTAATGATAAAGCTGTAATGTCGGTGAATTCACACACCCTGAAATGCATTTCGAGTCTTGCAAAGGATTTTGAGGTTCTGCGATTTTATGTTTCGCACTTTACGCCCCTGGTTGGCACGATTTAAAAATACTATGGGACGACTATGTGTACCTGTAAACAGCTGAAAATTCCCGCCGAAATCCTAAAAATCGTTAAAAATTCCAACCTAAAACTATTTCGTTACCGGCGACTGCAGAGTATAATTTCGCGCGCTATTAACTTCCTCAAAAATGCCTTCTGGTAAAGGTCTGATTTTAAAATTTACGCGTATCGTTCCTGAAGCATTTTCACCCATCAAGGGCTCTGTGAAAGCGGCGGGCTACGATTTGAAGAGCGCACAGGATTGTCAAGTTCCCGCACGCGGTAAGGCCATAGTTTCCACTGGCATCAAAGTACAATTGCCGGAAGGATGTTACGGAAGAATTGCTCCACGTTCGGGTTTGGCTGCGAAGAACTTCATCGATGTCGGAGGTATGTGAGGTACTTACGGTTGTAATGATCGTTACGATTCATATTGCAGCGGGTGTCGTTGACGAAGACTACCGGGGAGAACTGAAAGTGATACTCTTCAATCATTCGGACTCCGCTTTTGAAGTAAAGGCAGGTGATCGCATCGCGCAGTTGATATGTGAAAAGATTTTCTATCCCGATATCGAAGAGGTTAAAGTAAGCTTTCTTTACCTGTGGAGTACTCGATTGTAACTTGATTTCTTTCAGGAGTTATCGGAGACTGAGCGAGGTGAAGGTGGATTTGGATCTACAGGAAAAAATTAAATGTTATCTTTAAGTTTATATTTAATGCGGGTTGTAAAATAAATAATGTTCCTTTTTTGTATTTAAATTATGTTGGTACGCCATTTGATTTAGTTAGTTACAAAATGGCCAGCGAAGTGCAACTAGCTCAAAGTGCACAAGCCGGCGGCGATACAATTTTCGGTAAAATACTGCGTAAGGAAATACCTTGCAATTTTATATACGAAGACAATTTAGTAAGTTCAAAAAGGCGTCATAATTTGAGAATTTAAGTGAGGTTATGTTACAGTGTGTGGCTTTTGACGATTTAAACCCCCAGGCGCCCGTTCATTATCTCGTAATTCCCCGCAAACCTATTCCTCAGCTGTCCCGAGCGGAAGACAACGACGGTGCACTTTTAGGACACTTGCTACTGGTGGCTAGAAAAATTGCTCAAAAACGTAACCTTAAAAATGGTTTCCGGATTGTCATAAACGACGGTCCTATTGGAGCTCAATCAGTCTATCACCTTCATATTCACGTCTTATCCGGCAGACAACTCCAATGGCCTCCCGGTTAATTTTAAGCAGTAATGTAATCCAATGTGTAAACAATAAAAGGTTCTTATCGTACATATAGTTATATTTTTACTCCATTTGTTTACAATCTCATTTGACAATTAATGGTAATCTTGGATTTCTATCTATTTCCCTTAGACTGTACAATAAAAAGAAGACTGACAGTAAAGGTAACTGTTACAGGGGATGTTAAAGGAAAATTGCATTTTATCACTTCTTACAAAAATGGAAACTAACTTAGCACTTAAAACAATATGATGTTATTAAATACTAAATGCAGTAAAAGTAATACATTATTAGCTTACTACAACATAATATAAAATTTACGAAATAACACACGAAAAATTTACAAAAATAGCAACAAAATGATTGAAATAGCAAAAAACTAGTCAATTTATAAAAATTTAAATAACAACGCAACACCGAAAATGTTATTGCCGTATAAAAAACTGTACCATTATTAACACATCAGTTTAATACATAAATCTGTTTCAATAAAATAAGCAACACCAACATCGTATCTTTTTCTTAACGCTCAAAAACATAAAATACACTCCATCAAAATAAATCTAAAATAGTAACCATAAAGATATAAACAACTCTTAAATTTAATAGTACGATTTTGGTTTATCAGCAAGTACTTAAAGTTGAATATGTGCACTCTTCGTAATAACCTTAATAATGGCACTCGTAAACCCACCGATATTAACGCATCACGTACAGCATTTCACACATAAAAAACGTGCTTAACTAAAAATACTCTTTCTTGCCAATAAACTTTTGATATCTTTGTCCTACGGTAACCGTTCAAGACATTGAGCTACACGGCAATCTTGGCGAACCCATCTGCGTCAAGACTCGATCCAGCCACTGTAAAGGACCATTTAAATGCAATTCTATCCAACAGGGTGTCGATGTGACCGTCTGCCGCCTGTAATATGCGTCGTTAATTACACAAACCGAGTGCACAACGCACAACTGACCTATATTCGGCACCCCAACCTTTTACGAACGACATTCGAATTGTACACATTCGAGTTAGTTGATAAACCGCCTCGAATCCCTGACTGACCGATTGCGATAGTAGAGCGGCGAACTCCTGATTGTTGAAAATTTTTAAATTGCATCCTGGAAAAAATTCCAGATTATGCAATTGTTACACTCTCAAAATACGCCGTGGAAAATGGGATTGTTTTCAACCCACGCTATGAAACGACAGAATTTTGGTACTAGGTGGGCAAAGGGCGTTTTGTTGTATACACACACCACTTGGGGTTATTTTGAAATATCACATTTTCTTCTTGGAAGACAAAAAAAGTGAACTGGTTCTAATCAACACAAATGGTCAATTTGGGGCCACCTTATGAGAAATTTGGTCATATTATACAAGGCTGGTAGTGGAGAAGTGTCTCACTGATGGCAGTAAGTGTATAAATGTGTTCTAAAAAATGATATCTAAAAATTAAATGTTTGTCTCATTAAAACACTTTTTTAGTTCGATTTTAGAATTTGGGATGGAAAAGAAACAACTAAAAATTTGTTACTGAGAAGTATCTAGATACCCTGTGAAGGTAACTGTATCTGTAACTAGATACTACAATAAAATCTGTAACTAGAGTCAACTCTTATTGGAGAATTTACTTTTCCTGTAACATACAGGGTGTAGTACCATAAAAATTAGCGAAAAAAGTTTTAGAGGAAAATTCTGCATGTTATTACAGTCGCCATACTCTAAAATATTTTTGATCACCAGATGACCAGAGGCGTACTATATTCCAGCAGCGATCACACTTTTGTTTTTTTTAGTGAACCACCCCATATATAATTGCAGATTCTGAAAGTACTTATTTTGTATTGTACCATGTTATACTCTTAACTTTAACGATTTCGCTGTAATAACCTTTTTTCTTCAAAATTTGACACTTAAAATTTTTTTGAGAGAAACTAAATCGCTAGCGCATCAATTTCTTTATTTTTGCTTACCATACATTTTTCATTTTCTTGATTCTACTCATTTTCTTCCCATGGGGGAAAATTGTCTAGTGCAGCCTGTTATACACAGGGTGTCACATAGAAGTATATAAAAAAAATAGGGCGTTAGAAGGGATCAAAACAAGCAAACAAGTGAGTATACTGTACGCCTCTGCTAATAGTGTTCTACTTTCACCACTTATACACTAGATGGCTCTTATAAAAAGTCCCTAGATATACAAAATATCGCAAAGTTAATCATATTTGATCCAAAAGAGTGGGGCAAAAATGCAATACTGTACTTATGAGGAACCAACTCATCAAATAAATTGTTATAGCGTTAATACGGCGTACAACACTTTCTAACCACAAAATAATGTAATACCCCAAAACCGAGGTCAATCTGTATCGACCATTGTATGATGTGTTGCCTACAAAGTGTAATATTGTACACCTTTCATATACTTACGCAAAGGTCTTAACTAACCTTACAAAAATACGTACCTGGAGGAATTTTACAAACAGTTGCAGGATGCCATCCATACCTTTGATTACAATTTGGCGATTGAACAAAGATGCTAGAATCACTTAAACATTCGGCAAACACTTCGCCACCTATATAATACAATCGTACGCCCTTCCCGATATGTCTCCGAGTTTGTTCGACGACGGAATTACGATTAACATTCGATAACAAACCGAGACAAAATCTGCAAGTTAACATTTTTAAATCCAACATCCGTCGAAAAAATTAAATACCGTTCCGAATTACTGGGATCTGTAAATCCGTCCACCGTAATCGAAGGTTGACTGGCATGGAAGGTTTCGCCGACTCTCGTATTAAGCTCGTAATAACTGATGCTACACCAAAATGCGGGTTCACAGTACATCACCGGTTGAGCGTCGACTGGAGGACTAGGAGTTAAACGTGACAGACCTTCACAAAGAATGTTCCGACTTTTAGAATTAAAAATGTATACAGGGCCTTCAAATGTAAGTCGACACTATTAATAACTTCGTTATTATCAGAGACACAAGGTAGGTTAAATTAGTTTTTTTTTACGCTGATTATAATGTTGAAAATCCCTGTATGTGATATAATGGAATGTTGTATAAGAATATTTTGAGAATGTGAGTGCGACTGTCAATTGTTTTTCGATTTTCACCATTGTAATCAGTGTAAAAAAACTCTATAGTTCTCTAATTTAACAGCCAGCTTAAGTTTGAAGACCCTGTATTCCCTTCAGGTGTTTTCATAAAAGTTGCCTTTGGTAAAAAACATTTTATTTGTGTTGGCAATACTGAATATTTTAGATTAAAGGAATCTAATGTAAAATACCTAGATGTTGCAATTATAATTTTGTGTTATGATATAAAAAAAATTGTTACAATAGTAATGTTAGACAATTATGATGATGGATTATGTAGAGATGTTCTTTTAAGAGATTACATACAGGGTGTTTAAAAAGTATGGAATATCAATAGGGTTAAAGTTGTAGGAGAAATGTAATTGAACTAAAAATAACCTTAGTTCAATTGGAACATCACAGCAGAATTTTGTATAATTTGCCATACAAAACTGTTCATTTGTAATATTACCCTAATACATTATACCAATAAAAATGTTTAATCAGTTAGCAGATAAATAAAGGTCAATTTTTTTTATTACCTCGTAAGTATTGTACTCGGTTTTAAACATTAATAATGATTTTTTATTTACATTTTCTAATTTTCTGCACACCTTTAGGTATAGTCAAGGTCATAATTTATCTACTTCAACCTTTTGTGCTATTTTTGAGATTATTGTTCAAAAACAAAAAACAAATTAACTTTAACCTTATTTCGTATTGTCAAAACAAATGAAATTTTCCAAGGCTCACACTTGAATACCTACTCATATTGTCGTTGTGATCAATGGGATCACCGTCTTCCGATATATAACCGGGAGGTGGGGTCTCTGTAGGGGGAGCTGCACTATGCGGAGATTCTAGGTTACTTGGGCACAATCCCACCGTATCCATGAACCCTGAATGTTGCATCTGCAAGCTAAATAACATCCGTAAAGTTGCGATAATTCGAGAAGAAATACTAACTTTATGTTTGTATTATGTGGAAATGAAGTGTTTTCGGGTACGGAAGTGCTCAAATCTTCTAACGAATGAGGAAATATGTTGCCTTCGTCATTGGTTAACGTATGCCTTGGAACTAAGATTGCGGGTAATGCTGTCGAACACGTAATTACTCGCTTGGAAAAAAGGAGTTATACGAACCTGGAGTTTCGATACGCGTGTAGTGGTAAGGATTAACGCATACTTCTTCTTTCTTTAACGAAAAAGCGTACTCGCAATGGTCCAAAGCGCGTAGCTCATTATGCGACTGCAAATCGGGCCACCTCCATAACTTACAGTATATCACATGCGGTAAACCTTTACGTTGCTGCACATTCGACCCTAAATCTGAGCAAGGTCGTGCTCTAAAAAATGTAGAATTAATTCTAAATTCTGATTTGATTTAAATAAAAGTGACGCAAATTTAGAATGTCCACCGCATTGTTAGACATTTAGGGTAGGTCGAAAACCAGACACAGTGGGGGCAGAGGGGGTACAGTCACAACAAATCCATAATCTGACCTTAAACTGTGGGAAATCAAACATGCAAACGGGGGATTCGTACCTTGGAATTGTCACGCATTTTGTGTTATGATTTTGTGAGGAAATCGCCCGCTCCAACTCCTCGAGAGCGCCGGACTTTTTTAACTTTTTCACTAAACTCTTCACGGCCTTCTCACACCATTTGTCGTCGGCGTCCGTACCTTTTTTCCAACCTAACAAACGCTTCACCACAGGTGGAGTAAACGGTAACATTCCACCTTTATCTAATTCGCGCAATTTTTTTAATTACTCGCACTATTTCTTTTATAAACCCTTAAAAATGATCGAAAAATTATTGCTATTCGAGCGCCATATTGTTTTTTGAATATTAATTTTGTGCGCGCACGATAATTCGCGCTGTAATTTGTGACGTCTTCGTCTTGTACATGGCAGCGGGTAGCGGCAAACGTATGTCGTAACTAGGCCGTTAAGCATGCGTATGTTTAAAGAGCGCAGTGGCGTCCGTGCGAAAAATTTAAATGATTTTTTTTCGTTTTCATTTGTTCATGCCCAAATTTGTCTACAAGTATATTGTACTTGCAAGTTACACCCTTACGACGCTACTCTGATTAATCATAACGTTAAATAGCCAGAGACAAATCATAGGTTGAAAGACTGAAATTAAATGTTACGCTCCAAAGCACTTTTGCTAGTTTCTTCCCTCTACATTCAGCTTGCTTTCGAGTATCCTGCACACCTTGTTTTTCCTTGCATGTTTTTGTCTCTTCGCACCTTCTAATTATCTCTGTACCTAGGTACTTGTATCGGTTTACCTGCTCCAGTTTCTCTCCTTATTCCCATCCCGATCCCAGTATTATTCATGCCTTTTCCTGGAGAAAGACAACAACCCCTGCCTAACTCCTCTGCCGGTAAAAACTTCTCCTGTTCCATTTTTTTAAATAGGTATTGTCATTAATCTTTTCCATGTCAACAAATTTTTGCCCTTCTCTGATTTTTCTGGTCCATCCCTCCTTTAAGAGCCTTACTAGTGCAGCATAGCATGCACAACCACGCTAATTGTTTTGTGCTCCTCACATATTTTTGCCTACATAGCTAATTACTGTTATAAACAGAAACTCTTTGGGCCATTCCCCACTCAAATATATTTCATTATACAAAGCTCTCTACTCTTTGAGCCCTTCCTTACAAGCACTTCACAAGATATCATCTACCTACATGTGCAGCCTTGCATTGCTGCATATCTGCAACTGCTTCTGCTCCAAAAATGACTTCCCCAATGGCATCCACATCACTTTCTGCTTCCACCTCCAATTTTGGTGGCCTTTTGCTGGCTTTGTACAGATCTTGCATGTATTTATTTTCTCTTAATAGCATCTTCACACGCGGGGTTTATCAGACGTGTAGCGACTTGTCTTTGTTTGTTTGTTTCAAATTCAAGTCAAATTTATAAGAGTACATGGGAGCGGGACTTCCAATTCTACTTCCGCTTCCGCAAAACATATTTGGTTTTCACTATTTATATCTGCACCGGGCAACCGCAAACATTTATTTAAACTCTATCTGTCTGCGATAGAAACTAACCAGTGCTATCCATGTATATATAGAAGAAGAAGAAAGATTTGAAATCCAGTATCGTTCCCACTCTTTCGTCTTTTATCTCCAAGTCAAATTTTGCATTTCCACAATTCACTTCTCCGCCCATCTCATATCTAATTTCACTCATCGAGATCCTCTTAAGATTTTCGAATTTCTCCTCTTTTAGTAACATTACTCACACTCCGTGTTCCTATCCGAACTTTGACCCTTCATTCTTCGAGCATGCTTTCTTCAGAGACTTTCCCCCGGCTGTCAGAATGGGAAACATGCCAGAATATTTAATATAAGATGAATTCATGATTTATTCCGTTTCGTCGAAGCACATAACTTCTCGGTCTTTAAATGGAATGGGGTGGCGAGTGGGGTGGTTATCCTTTGCTTTCACCATCCCAATATGCGGTTAGTATTTGCAGACTCCTACACATGTAGGAGTAATTTCCTACCCCCGGGACAAGTGTTTCCCTCTGCTCGCTCATTCGCCTTCAATGAGACCGTTGGTACTTGCCCTTGTGTAATATTGTGATAAGGGGCATACTCCCTACCAGGCGCGTCTCCAGGTGGCGGATAGAGGGGTTCCCTTCCCTTTGTGTATGGCTCAATTGGGTGGTATATAGGGAAGACCAAACAATTTTTTTTCCAAATAAACTAAAGGCCTGAATCTACACCCTCAAAAGTTCATAATGTTGCCTTTCTCAGCAACCACAACAAAATAGGAGGTTGACAAGTTGAAAATTCCTACCGCAAGATGGCGTACTTCTAAATGGGAATACGAGCAAAAACTCCGATTCAGACGAAATTTGATGGTTTTAATAAGGCAATGACAAATAGATTAGTTTTTGAAAATTCGAAAATATTTAACTGTACCTACTATTGGACCGGATAACTGGTCGCCCCTTTTTTGATAACTTTAAAGTGGAGAAAAGTATTACTTTTTCCATTTGGGATTTTCAATTTTTTTGAAATTAAGGGCGGGTTTTTTATGTTACTAATATTAGATCTATCCATGGGAACAAATGTGTTCACATAGGTCATTGATTAAATAACCGATTTACACTTTACAAGTGCCTCAAGTAAAGATCATTTCTTTGGAAGTAGGGAAAGCAATCCCAAAGAACCTCAAACTGACACTAACCTAAAACAAAAGATTGCAACTGCAACAAATACCTAATCGAGACCATCACCCACGAATTAACAGACCCGTCTTGTCCAAAATTGTGCTTTTGATCCCGTCTTTGAGGAGAATAAATTTTTTAATACTGGTGAACGGCATTAGCCACCCAGTGTACAAGGGGGTTTACAGTATAGTTGAATTCCGCAGTTCTAATTTACTAAGCGTGTACCTGAAACCATAAAACATTTTTTTGGACAGTAAAAGTTTATTTAAAAATAGAGGCTGATTAGCAAAAAAAATAATGAACATGTGCGGTTTTAAAGGTTTATTCAAAACGATATGATTGTGGCGGGCTCTGTGACGTAATAAGCCCGACCAATCAGCTCCTAGAACCATTCAGATGACATAACGACTTGGCAATAATGCAGGAGAATGGCATTTATAACTTGCGTCATCTGTCACAGGCACTTGTCACTTTCGTGCTAGATGCAGTTAAACATCCCTCTCAAAACGTCAAATGTGACAAACGTCAGACCCTCGCGTAAGGTTGCCAGCTCACTTCTACGTGATTGGTTGTAGGTTTGTGACGTATTTAGTCTGAAGCGTTTCAAATTCGGACTAAAAACACAGCTTTTCAATAATTTATTTTGGGGTTATTTTACTCGCAAATAAAAATTGAGGACACACGGGTCTTTTTATTTTTAATGTACTTTGTGGATCAGAAATAAAAAATGAAGGCGGGATGAGCCCATTGGAACAAAAGACAAAGTATGTTCAATCTAATAACTCGCGTTCCATTTCGCGGAGTAGCATGAAATGTTAATTATGCCAATATTCTAAATGCGCAGAAGATGATTGGAAATGACCTTAAAAAATTTACATTCCATGACAAAAGAATTTCAGGATGCTAATTCTTTTACATAAGAATGAATCAGCGAAATGACGAGCGGCGTGCAGAAGATGGTTTACAGTTGCCGATGACGTTACGCTCGGTCTCTTGCAATTTTACAATAATTTGTCACGCCACTCTTTAAAACACACCTCAATTTCTTCCCTAGCTGTAGTATCTTTTAAGACACATACATGACAATTGCTAATTGTAGATTAACATGCAAACTATTTTCTTTTACCTAGTTTTTGTTCATCTAGTTCTTAATGTTTGTGATATTGAGGCGAGAATTATTGAGGTAAATCTATCATAATGTTAATTAAATTAAGTGGGTCGATTAGAAATTTCCTTTTTGAACAATCGCATTTTCATTGTCGCCCTCTTTTACAGGGGACAAACACGAATTTGGTAGACGCTCTTCAGTTTCTACGCGAATACAACAATGAAGGATCGGAGATATGTTTTCGTGTAAATACAGCGCGCTGGAATTACGCCACAAACATGACCGATACTAACAAAAAAAGGATGGTCGACGAACAAAAACACAAAGCCAAATTCGACAAAGTGTCATGGAAGAAAGCGGTAACTTTCAATCGCTCCGTTTTATCGGACCCAACGGCGAAGCGGCAATTGACATTTTTAATCGCGACCAGCAAAGCCAGCCTCAATGATGAAAAATACAATGAGGTTCGCGTCGAGATTTTTGTGACGATTTTTAATCTTAATGTTGTAGATACACCATCTAATCTCCGAAATGAAAGATGTCTATGCCCAAACTCAAATTTGTCCATTTAACAATTTCGACGCGACGTTTTGCAATATTCATCTGGAACCTGACATAACGAGATTAATGGCTCATTCCAGAAACCCCGCGGAATTGTTGCACGTTTGGAAGGAATGGCACGATAACGTAGGGCCACCTTTAAAAAATAAGTTCATGAGGTATACACAGTTGGCTAACCAAGCGGCTAGAATGAGTGGTAAATTTTGTTTTTAAGTCAAATACAGTTACTCCAAACGTAATTTTTTAAGGATTTGCGGATGCTGGTGACCAGATGCGGTACGTTTACGAAGATGACGATTTCGAGCAGGAACTAATGGACAGCTGGAGTCACTTGGAAGAGTTGTACAAGGAACTTTTCACTTACGTTCGCAGGAAGCTCGTTCTAAAATATGGCTCGGAGTTTATCAGAACCGATGGACCAATACCTGTGCACTTATTAGGCGACTTATGGGGACAGGACTGGAGGAATACTTTTGATATTGTCAAACCGTACAGTTGGTCCAAAGATAGCGAAGTGACAGACGAAATGTTAAAACAAGGATTTACGCCGTTAAAGTAATTTTATTAGGGGGCTCGTGAAGTTGTGGGTTCTTGGACGAAAAGAACTAATAATGCTAGTTGATTTTGTGGGAAAAGTAATTCAAATGTTTCCAATAGCACTCTAGTATCATATGAACGTTCAAATTAATGAAGACAATTTAATTCTGGTACAATTGACACGATTTCAAGTTAGGAGCAAAAAAAGTTAGTCAAAATTTAAACAAAATGAAAAAGTGGCAAAAAAGTTTATTCAAGTCGATACTACAACTTCACGAACCTTTTAGTATGTTATGATTCAGTTAAAGTTCGTTAAACTTGATCATAGTCCAGGCCATGGGAGGGCAAAAACGTATTTGGAGCTATGGGAGCCAGAACACAAAATTAGGAAGAAATTCAGTAAATGCGTTAAAATAAATGAAATTGCGGGAACGTGTAAGGGCAATTTTGGAGGAGGAAGTTTTAAAAAATGGAAATTGTGACATTCCTAGTTCATTTGGGGTAATTAAAAGAAAAGGTTCACATTTATAGGCAATGAAGGAAATTATTCTCTCCAAAATGTGTTATGTGACCAAACACTTGAATCAATGGTGAGAAAAAAATGTGAAACATAGAAGCCATTGGTCCACAGGCGACGTTTTATATACAAATTAATCATTAATTAGCTAAAATCATTAAACTAAAATTTATTGCCAAATTAAATTAAATATTAAATTAAACTTTTTGAAAAATGCTTCAATTTGAAAATTACAAAAACAACTGTTTCTGATTTTTTTTAGATATATGAGAGATACGGAGACAATTTGTATATTGTAAAATCGCACTTGAAATTAAGTTCAAATGTCCCAATATTGTAATTGTTGAAACTTGCGAAACTTTAAAAAAGCATTTTATTTTTAAATATTCTCTACAAAACCGAAAAATTTTTTTAATTTTCCGAATTTACGTTTTCAAATTTCAAAATCTTAGGATTCTGATTTGAATTTGAATCTTTGATATGTCCAAGATTCACTTTTTAGAATTTTGAATATACGCAGTGTTTCCAAGATAAGAATTAACAGTATGGGGAAATCAAAAACCATATGAGAGATAGAGTCGGTTATATTAGAAAAAAGTTGCTTAAGTATTTTAGAGCTTATAATAGGTTTTAAAAATTCGAAAATTCCGATGATATTAAAAAAAACGAAATGAAACCATATTCGTTTCTATTTTTATTTTTTTGGCTATTTTAAAAGATCAAAAAACTAATAGCACTTCCTCCTAGACACTGTTTAATTTCCCAACATGGTGCTCACACATTATCACTGTGACGTCTTGTCTTTGAGAACCCATTATCAACTTCATAGTCCTATATGGACCGGGAAAAAATAAATACTTAAATAAATACACATTATTTAAGTCAGAATGAATTGTTATTAAATGTTCAACATTTTAGTGTAGTAGGCGTTGACAAAATTATTTACTAGTGGTTCCTTTAAAAACCTAATAAAAAATCATATTGTGCCATACATAATTGTATTTGCAATAAAAAAAATTCTAATCAATACAGTACAATACCTACAATACAGTGTTTTTTCCGGTCCATACAAAAATATGAAGTTGACGATGGTCTTTCAAAGACGTAACGTCACAGTAAAAATCTGTGAGCACCATCCTGTAGAGTGTAGAGCTTAAAAAGTTCCTATGAGGAAGTGTGATTTTGATATCTTTATGACATACTATCCTGAACTTGGCTCAGTTCAGTCTTTCGCCACGTGGGCTTGATCTTGGGAAGTAGGTCATGGTGAAGCTCAAGGACATTCGCTTTCATCAAAGATCAATGACCCCATTTTTCTCACCAGGTCATTAAAGGCCCATTTTTGTAATGTCATAGGTGTACCTTTCAAAGTAATCAAAGTTCAATGACCTCATTTATGCCATATCTTATTTTCAAGATGAATAGCCCCTTTTTGTGGTGTGATATTTCATTTGATAGGTTATTCAAGACCAATGACCTCCATTTGTTAGCGGTGAGTCTACTTTCAAGGTCATTAGAGAGGTCAATGACTCCATTTTGTGTGGTGCCATATTTCATTTTCAAGGTTATCAAAGTTCAAGGACCTCCACATTTCTCGGTGTCACATTTCATTCTTAAGGTCCACGAATAACAATAATCCCAATCGTGCAGTGTCATATTTCAGTTTCAAAGTTTGACGACCTCCATTTTTGGGGTGTCAAATTTGATTTTCAAGGTTATTTGCAAATATGGGTGACTAACGCGTTTTCTAAAAGATCGTCTCCAAATGATTAATTGTTCACAAGGTTATCACCAAGAGATAACTGCCTTTAAGCTTCACTGCTCCAGAAAAATATCTTGAAAATAAAATATGGTACCAAACAGAATTGTTGGGATCATTGATCCTTGGTAAACTTGAAAATCAAATACAGAGTAAAGTAGGTACAAGATATAAACATACATCAATAAATGTAGATCAAGATTCAAAAAGAGTGAAATTTTAAAATTCATTATTTGAAGGACTCCATTTTCTGGGGTGAACAACCGAGCGGAGTCTACTTTCCACCTGACACTAGGCTTCAACGACCAAATGGTGTGTTGACCTACTCTCCGTCCGACATCTGAAATTAGAGAGAGGTTTAGAAGTCAATTACCTACCGAACAATGTTTTAATTCATTTTCTGAGGTCATTACGTGGCAGCCAAGACCAACAGGGAACGGGTATTTCTAGTCGCCTTGCTGCCAACCAAGGATGTCAAATGATGAGCAACTTCTTCGGGTCTGTCTGACCACTACTTTCCAAAGTAGCTCTTTTTTGGAAGGCTTTCAGCGGAACAATTCAAAGTTTCCCAATATCATGTGATGAGGGAATGTTCCTGAATCTTGGCATGTCTAGCAAGAGAATTTGAGGGCGAATACACCTGATTAAACCCACACCATGGAGAGTGTTAATCCATCAATAGTGCCAACGTTGCAATCAATGTTGTCAAACACAAATTGATTAAAAGCCCCTTTCTGGACAACAAAACCTGGTTTTGCATCGTTGATTGCTGCAATTTCCAGCTTTTGGGCTTCGGGGTACAAGGAACACAGAAGCCCAAAGTGGCAAGATGATGATTATTACGTATCTCGATGCGTACTTTCTGTACAGGAGCGAGGAGAGGTTGCATAATAAAGGTGATAAGAAGCTCTTTGGTCCGACGATCGCAATGGCATTCCCAGTGCAGTAGATTCTCTTTTCATTTCTTCTACTCTCTTAGTCCTCGTCAACAGTAGGCTCTCAAGGAAAGAGGTCAGGGGTCGAGGCAGTGTACCTGGATTCTTCAGGAAGTCATCACTGGATGGGTATGCTTCTGTGCTGATTTAATTCAGAAAAAATGTTGATTGGGAAAAATTAAAAGAGATAGTGTATAATAGCAAATCTGAGATGCTCCATGCTCCATGTTGTTAATCCTCCTCATTGCGAATAACTGGGTTACTCCCAACTAGCAAAAAGTAGGGTTTGAAAGTGGTCAAAAAAATTTATGTTTTTCATGCGGTCATAAATTCTGTCTTGCAAAAATCACAACTGCAATTAGGTTTCAGATCACCAATCCAATTTTCAAAAATTAAGTACCCATTCACCTTTACTCTTGACTATCGTCTGTTTATCATTGGTTCATCCTTTCAGAATTTATCAAATGGCGGAGGAATTTTACCTATCTTTAGGTCTAAAATCGATGCCGCCCGAATTTTGGAAGCAGTCCATATTTGACAAACCCACCGATAGAAAAATACAATGTACAACAAGCGCTTGGGATTTTTGCAATGGTCACGACTTTCGGTGAGTATACGCGAATAATTAAAGTTTTACCTACGCATGCTTTTACAGAATAAAACAATGTACACAAGTCGACATGGAAAGTTTAAGCGTTTCACATCACGAAATGGCCCACATTCAATATTACATGTACTATGCGGAACAACCCTACCTCTATAGAGAAGGTGCGAATCCCGGTAATGAAAAAAAAACAGTTTGTTTTAGGTTTATTTGTAATACAATTCTTCCTATACAGCGTTCCACGAAGGATTGGCGAATGCCATAGTTCTTTCCGTTATCAATCCGACACATCTCCAACAAATCGGTCTAGTACACAACAACACTAGCACTTTCGAAACTAGCATCCAATTCTTATTGCAGATGGCCCTTCGAAAAGTCGCATACGCGCCTTTTGCGTACTTGGTCGATAAGGTTGCACATTAAAATCAATTTAATACTGTCTAATCCACGAGAACTGTTTCAGTGGCGATACAAGGTCTTTCGGGACGGAGTCAGTGGCATGAACTCCGCTTGGTGGAACCTGAGATTACGTTACCAAGGGGTGATTCCACCGGAACCCCGCACCGACCAACACTTAGATCCCGCTGCAAAAAAACATATACCAGCTGACATACCATACATGAATTACTACGTAGCGTTGCTACTAGAATTTCAAATTTTCGAAGCACTATGCATCGCTAAAGGCCATACCGGGCAGTTACACACGTGCGACTTGTACAGATCTCGCGAAGCTGGACGGATTTTAAGGTAAAAATTAATAAACGCAATGCCAAATTAAACAAGTGGGTAATTTAGCGAAGCGATGCAAGTCGGGAAAGCAAGACACTGGAAATACGTTATAAGGATGATAACAAAAGGGAAAAGTGATTCGTTCTCAGTCAAAGCGATCTTGAAATACTTTCAACCTTTACAACAATGGTTGCACGTACAAAATGCAAATGAGGAAATCATCGGATGGAATACGAATGAGGAAGATACGATGCTTTTCCAACCACTCCACTCACGATCAACTGTTATTAAGCAATCACTCTTTCTCACGATGATTGGTGCTGCGCTATTGTTTTAATTAAATTATAAATGACATGTTAAATATTAAAAGTTTATTGGATTTCTTTAATTTCGTTATAATTCTCTTACACTTTACCTTTTATCGGTAGCTTTGTAGCCGCCAGGTAGGGATTGTCGATCTCCCAATTCATGTTCTCCTTCTCCGGACTCTTATTCATTTGGAGATTCTCCTCCTCGTCGCCCGTTTCCATTTTTTCGATCTTACACTCTGATTTTATACGTTTACGAGGCTGTTGATTTTGTATTTGATCCTTTGCGGTATACTCCAGGTCTTCGGGGTCGAATATTTGATCTTGAGGTAGCAAGGCACTTAAGTAGGGCGGATGGGTGGGCTTACAGGCGATTACTAAAATTTTGTCGATTATTTTTTTAAGTCTGCACTGGTTGCATAACGTAATATGGATAGTAAATCAACATGTTTCAATCATTTCCAATGTTGCTTCTGGTTTAACCGGAAATCGATGCAACTTTTGTTTTTCATTTTTTTAAGATACCTACTTGAAAAACGCAATCAAATTGCTGAACGACAACATAAAATATGCATATGGTGGATATACAAAAAATAGGAGACATTCCTGATTCAAAATTTAGAAGCTTATGAAATTTAGCATGCCGTGTGCTGTCAGGATGCGCTGTGTATGTTGTCTTTTTTTTATGATATGTTTTCTTAATGCTAAGGTCATAAATCACCGCGTACTTCACAGTTGGCGGCACTTGCAATTGGAGGCGACATTTTAAACACTTGTAAACAACCCTTAACACTATCGAATGGATCCATAATGGCGGCTCACTTACCAACAGATGTAAACATGTGATGCGCATGCGCGAGACACCATCCGTAACTTTGCAGAGAAGAACTTTCAAAACGATCCTTACTTAAAAAACAGGCCTCGTATGTAGACATATCTTACAGTAGTTTTTATGTAAAAAACGCAATATTGGCCGCCATCTTGGAAAATTTAGTCTTTGAACTTTTGGCAACAAATTAAAAAAATTAAAAATTTACTGAATCAACCTTCTTACTTGTGGAGTGATTTTTTGAATTTTCAGCAGCACCGCCTCTTAGAAGCAAGTCAATTGCTTACGGCAAACATGTCCAAAGGCGGATACGTTGCACGCATGTGTAGAACTACTTTTCTTATTGGCGGCGTGATCTTTCTGTAGATGGGGTTAAAACGTCAAATGCGAATAACTCAAAAAGAGAGTATCCAAAAAAGGTACTCACAAAGAGAAAGCCGTCGATGAGACGCATCCGTCGGTGGGATCAAAGCTTCAAGTGTAAATAACTCAAAAATGCATCCATTGGTGGGGTCAAAACTGCATGTGTTGATATCTCGAAAATGGAGTGTCACAGAAGGGTACTTCCAAAGAGAAAATTATAAAACTAAAAAAATTCTTAATCACCAATATTTGATACTTGGATAAATCCACTGGTAATATCCCCGTATATTAAAAAATTAAAAATATCTCTATTAAACTTATTTAATACAAATTTTATGTAATACCTTCACCCGACATCCCTCCCATCTACAGGGTGTACCTATGGGTGAAAGATTGCGGGTTAACGCATATAGTTAACATTAATTGCTGGGGCATGTTGAAGCAGTCTTAAGGCTATAACCTAAGAATATTTTTAACGAAATTGCAATTGTTATACAGGGCGATTTATATCAACGCTAATTTTTTTAATAGAACCCCCTGTATATTATTGTATATTTCGATTCCTTAATCGATTTTAGTGAGACTTCATGTATTACACTATATCTAAAATGAGTCTTTCAGCCACAAATTGTAATTTTTTCAAAAACTAGATGTCCAGAAAAAATTGAATATCGCAATCACCATTAAACCTAGAAGGCAGCGTTACTAATAATGAAATGTACAATTACAATCAAAAGTAATGAGTTTTTAAAATGTAAATATCAATTTTTTTTATCTTTATATTATCTGGATGCGAGAAACAAGTCTACAGATTTCCTTTAAGGGACTGTCAAAATATTCAGAAGATATTGTTGCACATTCAAGGATTAGATGCAAGTTTCTGAATGGTCCCTTGAATTAAAAACAAGGGAAGGAATTAGGGAGTTTCTACGACATGCACACTAGATCATAATTGTTACCATCCAGTTGATCTACTATCCATGTTATATTACGCCTGTAGCATTACATGGAAAGATATTTGCTTCTTCATTATCGAACAAGTTGTGGATTGGATTTGTTCTGCACAAAAATTTCGTTAACGCCTTCTCCATGTCTTTCTTCTGTATTGCGAATTTCTCTCTAATTGCCTCATAATCGATAACAGGCTGTTTGTGTGTCTAAAAAACCACAATATAAAACACATACAACTGCGCAAAGAGTACCTACCGGTGTACGAATATATGAATGTGGATCGGGAAAGGTGGGTAAATGTTGAAAAATGTAGTTCGGTAGCGGCTGCTTCGTCCCCGCTTGTAACATATTCATCTGCTTTTGAGGTTGCTGTTGTTGAAGCGTCGGCAATGACATAAACTTCCCGTTTTTCACATACTGCTGCAATCCGCTGAAGTCGACACCTGCAAATCTCCTCAGTAAATGCCAAATCAACCGCACTTATACCATACCCATTTCAACAAAACCCAAAATAACATCACCAATTACTGGTTCACAACGGCCCGATAGTTCGCAGTAATTCCGGCTCATTGAACCTATCTCGCATAGAACTGTAAAGTAAGCCGTTAACATTGTATTGGCGGCGTTTATGACAAATATTACAGCACTGCAGCATTTCGGTAAAAGATTCGAGCACATCTCGATCTGCAGAATCAAAACCAGCTTCTAATAAGACTCCAGATATTGCCGAAGATAACATTTTTCTATAGGGGTTGGTCTGTTGCTCCATTATGCTCCTATACTTTATCACTAGCCAAAATGTAAACAGTCTTTGTGTAAGAACTTAATGGTAATGTAAATACATTAATTTGTTAAACGAATGCATGTATTATATTGAGGTAATAAATATACACCCCTCAACAATAAATAAATATTTTAATATTCTTATTTCATAACCTCAATTCAATTTATGATATGGATCGTCGATGTCTGCGTCTCCCATCCCATCATCCATATTCTAGTATACAGGATGCTTCAGTAGTTACTTTTTGCCAAAGTGTTAGCTTTTTCTTTTGTCTAAAAATGTGTATACCGCATTTTGATCAAATTGGTTCTACCGGAACTGAGAGTACACGCAAACATCGAGGTTTGTCCAGATGATGCTTCAAAACGGGTATTTCCGCCAGGAAAGGAGAGAAGGGGGGGGGTTGTAATTTTTTACATCAATGCAATACCTCCGTTATACTAACAAGCCGATAATTAAAAAAAAGCAAAAAGTTACACTAATATAGATGTTTTACATCCTTTCATGCATTACCTATACCCCGCTAGCCAGCAATAGCTTTAAGGGGGGTTCATAGCTCTCCGTTCATCCGTTGCGTTGATCCGTCAAACGGATACTACGTTTTGTTAAGGTTCATAGCAATCCGCCCACATTGTACATTTGCAACGTATAACCATAACCTAAATTTTATTTTGTACTGTACCCTCCGTGATTTTCAGTATGAAAAAATGGTACGAAAATAAGAACACGTTGCTATCTGAATATCACCGTGAAGAACGAATAGGCGAACACTGTTAACGTACCAAACATAACCTCACTCTTGTTAAAAACGGACCAACGGAAACGTAAATGTTCAACTTCAACCAACTTTTCCGTCGTAAACGGACGACGTACGATTTAAAAATTTGCTGCCTTCTGATTGGCTAACGGACAAACGGAAACGTATGAACGGAGAGCTATGAACTTACCTTAAGCATAGAGTATTTATTTACTCTATGCTTTTTTTGAGGCACGAAAAAAAAATTTTCTCTGATCGACCCGGAAAAAAAATTTTCTTATAGAATGGGGCCTGTAGAATCCATAATTTCAAACAGTTCCAAGATTGGGCTACTAGTTCAAAAGTTACAGCCCTTTGAATTTTCTTTCGAAAGTGGTTTCTAGTCTATTACTTTTTATTGAGAAGTCTAATCGAAAAAGTACGAATTGTTTTGGATTCTACACCTCAAAATTAATAAGAAAAATTGTTTTCCCGAGAAATTTTGGTGTAGTCGATTTTTGGTAAAAAAGGAAGGTTGTACACTGCCTTTTTTTGAGGCACGAAAAAAAAATTGTCTCAGATCAACCCGGAAAAAAAATTTTCTTATAGAATGTGGCCTGTAGAATCCGTAATTTCAAACAGTTCCAAGATTGGGCTACTAGTTCAAAAGTTACAGTCCTTTGAATTTTCTTTCGAAAGTGGTTTCTAGTCTATAACTTTTAATTGAGAAGTTTAATCGAAAAAGTACGAATTGTTTTGGATTCTACGCCCCAAAATTAATAAGAAAAAGTGTTTTCCCGAGAAATTTTGGCGTAGTCGATTTTTGGTAAAAAGGGAAGGCTGTACACTGCCTTTTTTATATTATTTACTTTATGGCTTTAGTCAAGAGCAAGGTCTCAAAAGTGACGTACAGCAATCTATCTTTCCTATGTTAAATTGACAAGAATAGAGCAATATTCGAGCTGCAGTACCAAATTTAGAAATGAAATTGGGCAAATTGAAAAGCTTGCAGCAAGCCCATTTTAAGTATTTTCAAATCACTGTGTAACAGATTATTAAATAAGGAGTAGTTATACCATTCTATTTAAAATATTATACCAACTTTAAATAAGTATTTCAATAGTATATTATTTAATCCACGTTTAAGAACTCAATCATTACACCCCATTTCGAGTTATAGAGAAAATGGATACCCAACGAGTATATTATTTATTAAGGACAAAAATGTTGGGCAAGTATGTAGCAAGGGTAAGTTATGTTTAAGTTAAAGACCTTTTTCAAATACTTATTTTTCTTTTTACATATTGTTCTTTTTTTTAAGTTATCATACAATAATCAATTACATTTTAAAAAATTATCCAAACACAGTTATAATTAAATATATTTAATATAAATATCTTACACTCGAATACATGCTAGTTCTATGAATCGTAAGTACTGATGAAAGTACTGTATGGAACTAGTCTATAAAAGACATACAGTTTATTAAATACAGTTTGAGAACTAGGTTCATTTCTTGCATAAATGCACTTCATTTAACGTAAGACATAAATTCAATACTTCAGTAATATCGATCAACTCAGTTTTGAGCACTGTTCAGTTGTGTTAAGTTCATCATTTGAAGAAAAAAAAAAGAAATAATTTAATAAGTACTAACGCTAATACTAAAGTAATTCAGCTAAGCGGCGTAACATAAAAAAATGTTAAAACGTTAGCAAAATTCAAAGTCTACAAAACGTGACAGTACTGCTGTCGGTAAGCTGGTCGCTGCTTTAATACAAAATTTACAATTTATTCAATACGGCGGTATCTCTCTTTCAAGTTTAATACCGTAGCCATTCTTAATTCACAACGTAAAGAAAACTAGTTCACGGCATCATTATACGAACAAATTAGCTATTAGACACACAATCAATAAATAAGATTAAATAATGCTAAAACAATTCGGTAAAAAATAGACTATCAAAAATACACTTAATTTACAAAAGCAACAACAACGATCCATATTCTTCCATCAATTTTATCATTTATTATCGAGAGAAAACGTCGCATGATTTCGGGTAATCACAACCTTAAAACGTGATGGCGAAATATGGATCAACAGATATTGTTTTAGAGAGTGAAATCACAAGTACAATGGGTCATGAAGATTTTTGTTATGATCAGCTTTTATAAAAGTTTCAGTTCAGTTCAAAAACAAAAACAGATTAAAATCAATAGTAAACCTGATGACAACTACCAGGTAGCCTCCTAAGTTTGTCAAAAAATTGGAATTTTTATTCCCTATTAAGCACGTTAAAAAGATTTAAACAAATAACATCACATTTGTCACAAACTAAATCACCATAATTTATTATTAATCAGTACATTATTTTCGTAAAATGTTTGTACATTAAAGTCCTCCGTACACCTTCGAGTCTTTTTTTAAATTAAACTAGTTACTGGTTTCTGGCGGTCTGCCTCTGCGGTTGTAGGGCCTTATCGGATACAACAAACCTCAACTATGCGACAGACAGAGTTCGTTCCACCGCGATTCAAAGAATTGTCGCATGCAATGACCCGCTTTTCCTACCGGACTGTCGTCTTCGTTGAACGTCTCGCAATTGTTGAATATTTGCCGAACGTCTGCGCAAAATTCGTCCCTGGATTTATACCTAAAGGAGCTTCATTGCATTAAGGTAAATTTGAAAAGGGAAATTAGACAAGTGTGCATGTTAGAACAAGGTCAAGCAATATTTCCCCAGACAGACTGTTAATTTTTTGAAAAATCTCTTCTTCCTTAAGAATGATATATTATTTTCATGTTTTGTATTGCTTTTAATTCCGGCCAAAAAGTGAACCAAACAATACAGAGTGATTATATAGGGTGGCTCTTAAAAATGGAGCCAAAGCTCTCATGCTGATACCGTTTGAGATATATTTTGAGGTTAAACAATTTTTTTTGACAAAAATTCGATTGTCATAAAATCATGGCCGACTTCTAAAAAGAAAATCTGAAAGAAATGGTATCAATTCAATGAAATGGGACTAACTCAGAAACTGGTCAAGATAGATAAAGGAACATGTAATATCAAAATATGTCAATTTTGATTGTCTATTAAATGCAATAGTAAGAGAATAGCCATGTCAATTAAAAAAACTGACATTAACTCTTTGAAATTCCTTAAATTTGGATCCCCTATAGATGCGGTCGTATGCAACTTTTTTTAATGTACACTAAAACAACGCCTTATTTATTCTGTATGTACTTGTTAAAATGGGTTGCCATAACTCCACCCGTTTTCAAGTAATCAATTTTCAAGGTATCATCTGCATCTGCCATTTTTTTTCCATAAGGTCAAAATAACTGAAAAACCATAAATTCTAGATATCGACATGGGGGGTATTAAAAGAACTGAAATTTCACGTAGAATCCAAAAATGCAATAAAAAAATAGGGGTTGTCATTTAAAATAACAAAGTTACTAGCTACTTCCGGAAATACCGCCATTTTGAAAATATTTGACATCGATTCGGCTTTCAAAGTAACTCCTAAGTTCAAATTTTCACAAACATACCCATTCCACTTTCCCAGAAACTCCCAAAAAAAACACCCTGTATACCTGTTTGAAACTGACCTTGGGTCCTTGGTAATCTGTGATTTTCAGGTAGAACCCTCAGATGAAATTGTATGAATTCTCGTGCAATGGTTAAATTTGTGTTGTTCCTTGTTCACATTTATGTCTATAGGTACCATGGTCCAGAAGAACCTACCTTATTATTAGTTTACCCCAGCAAAATTCCGAATTGCACCCAACCTTGCATTTAACATGTCTGCTTGTGCTTTACTTCGCATAACTAAGTTGATGAAGATCGATACTTACTGTACATCTTGCAGGCGCTTCTTAATCGAAGATAGGTCCATAGGATTTTTAATAATTTTTTTATACGTCGGAAATTGTTTCGTGTTCACTGGCAAAAGGAAGGGCCAAGCGTCATCGTGGCACTCGAGATCCTCCAAAATCACTTTGCAAGGCGCTAATTCTTTAATTAACTTCTTCGACACTCTCTCTTTGCGATTACCTAGCATGGACGGAGAACTAGCGTTACTTAAACTATTGAGATCATTTATCGGTTGTTGATCGTCATTTGTAGTTGCCGAACTGTGAGAGGGTGCAGGACTAAAGAAAACCGATTAGATAGATAGGAAACTGTGAATGGGATACGTATGAAATCCTTTTGTAAATTTCATACGTATTGCTCTCCTAAGGTTTTGTAAGATACCCACCTAGCAGGCGGGTGATCTGAAGATTCGCTGTCTCTCGCTTTAGGTGTATTACTCTTGCGAACCGCCCGTTTTTGGGGTTTCTTCGAAATGCAATTCACACAATACCATTTTCCTCGGGGCGCCTTGTTAAGCGCCGGCCTTAAGCAGTCTGTGTGATACGCTCTGGGGCAAACCTCACAAAGTAACAAACGTGTACTCGTTGCGGATTGTTTTTTACCGCAAACTATACAATTACGTTCTCCAGTTGCTTTGTTCATACACTCGTGACAATACCTGCAAATGTGCCTAAATAGCTTCGGTCCAAAAGTGAATTTAGTTCACGTACCAGTCACCTTCAGGAATATTATCCATTTTTGGTTTGAAACAGTATGTATGATAACCTTTATCGCAACCGTCGCACAGTAACAACTTGTCCTCATTGTCCCCATTGTGGCAAAATTGACAATTCTGCAATGTAACAAGACAGCCATAGAAGATTAGTGGTTTCGATAGTCGAAATTATAATTATATAATAAAGCCTAATGTCATTAGTAGCACAGCCACAAAACAAAAACTAAATGAAATCGTTAAAGTTAAGAGATGAAAAGCATTTAAATGTAATTGAGTGGACTCAAGAAAAAGACAACCTTTCAAATTAAACCAAATGTTAATAATGTTAGTGTAGAGAAAAGAAAAAAAAAGCTTTTCTTAAGCCCAAAGTAGCGTAAGAAAAATAAACCATAAAAAGCGCAAGCACCCACACTGAGCTTGGTGTTATAATTGCGAGCTCTCTGTTTAGTAAGAACATGAGAGTGGCTCACAGCTTTCATTATACTCTTGTCCCATGCGATGGATGCCTCCAAGGTATAAAGGCACATTGCCAATTGAGCAGATGTGTGTGCTCTAGTCACGGCATCGCGCCACACCACTAATCCTTTGGGAACGTCATCTGCTATTGGTAGTTGAGCAGGAGGCGGGCCGCCTGAAGCTTCTTGAGCAATAGCTGCTAAATTTGGATCACCGGTACTGAAATAAATATGTCTAAATTACTATCACCAAACATTGTAGGTCCAAGTACTGATCTATGTAGTCATTATTTTGGGACATATTTGGGATATATTTCAACTCAATGCTGTTACCAATTAGGGATGTTTGGTATGCAATAATGAGTTATTCAGTTGCCCTCAGGTCTCCCTTAATTAAGGTATGCTGTTACAGAATAAACCTCTTGTTATCCATCCACCTCCTAAAGAACTAACGGTATTGTAAATATTTATTTCATTAAGATTAACCAAAATTTCGAACATTTGGGTTCAGGGCTGTAATCTTAGTAAAAAATCCTAAATAAAAAACCAAAGAATGCCAGACAGTAAACTAAACAAGTGCCATAAATTTATGATTTACTGCAAATGTACTCCTTATTTCGTAGTAAAATAAGATTATTTAAAAAGACTAGTTCATCTTTTTCAAAATTCGCCTTTTTAATTAATATTATTTTTGACACTTGCTTACTTTCTGGCATTCTTTTGTTTTTTATTATCACGGTCGAAACCAGTTTATAAACATGTAATTAATTAATGTGTAACTACTTTTGTGAAAAATATTGAATAACCTAAAAACGAGGTAGGCACAGGACACCCCTTATAAAAATTGAATACCACACAAAAGACTATTGAATAGAGAAATAATAGTGGTAGTTGCATTTGAAAAAAAATAGTTGACACTTTGAAATTTGGAAATTTTACTATTTTTTGTGAACACCCTGTATCACCAAATCCAACTTGGCTACGATTTATCAAAGCGGGGCTTGCTTAAGGTTTGGATTTAGAGAATATAGGCAACTGGTGATGCACATGTAATTCAATGGGGTGTGCATTGCCTCTGAACTTCATTCACCATTTCATAAGCAAGGGGTGTATATGATCGGAAAAATATGTATTAGGTAGATAGATGTACAGAGCATAGTTTCCATACAATATAAACTGATATTTTGTCCATTAATATATGTTTATAAAATCTAGAAAACATGCGTCAAAAGAGTTCATAGTTCAGGAATTAATTGCAAAAATTAGCGAGCATTTTAAGCAATACGACTGTATGGGATCGGTAGCGTGAATACTTATCTATATTTTGGCAATTCATGTGAAGCTCAAAAGTTTTCATAATAAAAGTGGTGAATGAAGTTCTGAAAAATGGGCATGTAAACTGGCGAAATGGAAATAAACTACGCAGCTGTGACTAATATCGCGGTCAACAGTGTAGCTTCTTTCTCACAGAGGGTGCCACCAAGAGTTTTATAAAGTCAGTAAAAATACGATAAAGACATATGAAATAAGCGCTTTTATCTTGCGATGGAGTTGTTCTTACTTTTTAACTAGACTAGTACTGTGTAATGGGGATAATAAAAGACAAAAATTTACGAGCAAAAAAAACTAGCAGGCTATGTAAGTTGCCTATGTTAAATCATTTAGCGATTCTCTTTCCAGGTTGAACAGAGCGTGTAATAGTAGAATTTGCCGACAGCGAAAAAAAAAGCGTTCACTGGTATATTTTTATTTTGTCAACTCCTTGCTTCGATATTTATTTGGTTTCCCTTTCCTATTCATTGCAAACGGTGTACCCTCTACCTACCGTTGTATGAAATAAATAATAGAAATGGGGATAGATAACATTCCTTTACAACAAATATCAAAATTTTATGTAATTTTTAGAACAAAGGGTTGTTGTATATTGTTGTTGATGTCTGGCAAGCGGCGACCTTGTGTGGGTGTTTATTTGTAAGTGCTATGACATACTATGCTGGAAACCGCATGTGGCAAACCGCATATGCCGGAAAATGAAAAACCGCGTCATGTATAATTAAATGCATAAAGACATACTAGGTGCGTTTTGCGGTCGCCGCATATAAATGCGGTTTGCTGCCGCAACTTGTCGGCGGGAATGCGGTTGCGGTAAGTGAGAGAACACAAAGAAACAGATATTCGATGACATACTAGCCACAACGTTTCTGCCGGCAAGTAGTAGTGCCTTCAAAAATGTCTGAAAACCACCATAACTTCTGATATCTGCGTAAAAAGTATTAAAATTATCGGGATGTAGTCGATGATATGGGTGCACGGAACCTCCTCCTTGGGTTGCCGAGTAACCCTTCTGCTTCGGCTGCACATACAGCTACCACATTAAGAAAATGTTTGTATGCGTCCATTCTCCCCGAAAATTATTCAATAACTGCAGTAGCAAGGGACTATTTTCTGCGCCGGCATGCGGTTCCCATAAATGCCATAAAATGAAAAATGCGGGAACCGCTCAAATTTGCGGCTGCGATTTACCGCATGCGGTTTCCAGCATAGTATGTCATAGCACTAATGCGATTTGCTTGACCGTCTTCCTTATTCTTTATCTTTGCTTATTGCAGATTAAAATACCGTAAATTTATAATCCATACCTTGTTGCAAATTAAATTTTTTGAACTTCAATAGTATCATTGAATAAAGCTCTTTATTCAATGATAGTACCTATTATATATTAGTATTAGTTTAGTGTAATGTATAATAATTGACCTATACAGGGTGATTCAAATTCGAGGGCCACCATGGTGATCTCGGGAACTGTAAGAGATAGGTAGAGGTAGTTTACATTTGACAAAGTTGTGTATTTTTGATGCTTAACAAAATGCAGTTTTGAAACTCAAAAAATTCCGACTACTTTCGGAGAAAAACCAAATTTTGCAAAATCGTTTTTATTTTTTACTGAAGTTATTAAAAAAGATATTTCAAAATAAATGACACATTATTATGACCACTTTTTTCCCTCTACAAGATGCTACTTTTAAATTTTAAGTTTGACGTTTCGTCTCCAGGCAACCATCTTTGTTTTTTCTTATGGAAGCAATTTTGAATTTTTGTGTCATTTGATAAAGAATTTTTTTCTGATTTCAAAAATATAAAACATCATCTATTTTTAATAAGAAATAACGCTATTAATTCCTAAAAACGCAAGAAACTACTTACGTACGTTACTTAAGACAAAGTTTACTAGGCAAAAAAAGATATTTTACAAACATTAAAAAAATGAATGTGTACATTTTTGAAATCAGAAAAAAATTCTCTATCAAATGACCCAAAAAGTAAAAATTACTTCCATAAGAAAAAACAAAGTTGATGATAGTTAACCGGAGACGAAATATCGGATTTAAAATTTTACACTAGCATCTTGTAGAGTGAAAAAAGTAGCCATAATAATGTGTCAGTTTCAAAACTGCATTTTGTTAAGCATCAAAATACACAACTTTGCCAAATTTAAACTACCTACCTATCCTAACTCTTACAGTTCCCGAGATCAGAGATACCCATGGTGGCCCTCGAATTTGAATCAGCCTGTATGTTACTAATTTACAAAAGACCATCCCTCGAATTTAAGACATGGGGAAGAGAGATACAAATGTATATTTAGGTATAAACGGCTAAAAAATTTTAAAAAAATCAGTATACCGTAGGTCCCCGGATTGACTTTACAACAAGAAAAACTTACTATACTTTTTGACAAAAATGCATTCTCTATAAAAGCTTTTGATTGTTCTAATTCGAACTTTCCCCACCGTTTCAGAGAAAAATACAAAAAAAACGAAAGTATGGTTGAACATTTTCAAAGTCCTAAAAGTCAAAACGCGTCTCTACTGTAATAACATTTCGTTAGTTACAACGTCATCGTTACCTGTTATTTGAATAGGCACTAGGATCGTTATAACTTATAAACAAACACACTTCGTAATGACATTGAATAAAAACCTCTTTATTCAATGGTAACAATGAAAAAGAATTGAATTTCCAAAGGTGTTTTCTTTGAAATGTCGGCGTTTTACCGTTAAGTGAAGGAATCAAGAGTTTTACTGAGGGCCCTTCCAAACAAAAAGCCCCTGTCGCCACTTGTGAACCAATTTTACGATCTTAATTTTGAAAGTCCCCCATGCCAATAATTACGCGATTTTTACTTCATACGTTACGTTACAAGCGGTTCATTATTCTCCTCAAGTTATGTGCGGCAGAGAGCTTATTATAATTTTGTTAACCTAGCAGTCTGTAAGGAGCCGTGAACGACCTTGCGTTTGTGTTTTGTATCTTCTTGTCGCGTGGTTATGCAAATCAAATTGCATTTTTTTGAAAGATCCCTCTGTGTTATTTGGGGCCCACTTAAAGAAAGTATAATGATTTAAATATTTGTATAGAAAACTGCTGTAGTTACGCTATTCATTATTAGGTACCAGCACAGTCTAACAAAAAAAACTTTGTCCTTTACTATGGGTACCTACTTCTCTTTTCAGGCAATCCCAGCCTTAAAGGAAATTATTTGGAAAAAAATTAATAATTTGGTAACATTGACAAAAAACCAAAAAGTGAATAGGTTTCCATACAGAGATTAAAAATGACATCGAAACAACTAAAAATATATGGGGTGTTCTATTTAAAAAATCACGCCGTAAAAATGAGACACCCTGTACATTCAAAAATAATTTCTGTAGATGCGCGACCATCTATGGTTGACATTTGCACAAAAGGTTTTATTATATTTTTTACCAGGTATGAGCTAGGAAAGACAGACGCACTGTTGCTGGACCCAGATTCGATTCCCGGTCGATGCAGATTTTTTAAAATTGATATATGTACATACTTTGCATTTATACATTTTGCCAGACTAATGCTGATCGTTGACGTAGGAAGTCACACAGGACCGTAGTCATGCTCACACTACTATGGCATATGTAATAGAAATATGGGTTCACTCTCCATATGCCAAAGTAATACTTCAAGAAGAAAAACGAGCTATCAGAAGTCTAGAGGGCCAAACCTCCTGTAAGCTGTTTCTGACAAAATACAGTATAATCAGCTTCATATATCCTCCTGATAATCCTTTCCATTCATAATGGTGTCAGTACCCTTCCTTCCAAAATACTTCAACATTGCTATCCTATGAGAAATCCCACCTACTTATTCCCCATAAATTTAGACGTTTGCTACATGAGCAAGAAATATAGGTAGCTCTACAATATCTGCCCAGTTTCCTGGAAAGAGAAACCTGCGTGTGGTCTAAGAAGACATCTCAGAAGCCATCTTCTAAAGAACTCAGTATACCACTATAAAGACTTCTTAAATATGTCTTTCAATGAATTTCATTCACCTTCTCTCACCTTATGACACCGATATGTACCGGGTGACCCAATAAGACTGTTCCTCGGCCATATCTCGAGAACCGTTCGTTGGATGACTTAGACGGAAAAAAAATTATTGGGTAAACCGGTCATGAAGAATCGCTGAAAAATATTTTCACGTTCTAAAAATGACCACCAGAGGGCGTAACTGCCATCTTAAATTTTAAAATTGCATTTTCTTTAAATTTCGCATAATAAACTAAACATTTTTTTTCACATTTTTAAAGAGAACCAGTTTATCTATCATTTTCGTAAAAACAAAGTGTAGGGTCCTTTTCCAAACAACCTTTCGCGCCATCGACAAATACCGGAAATACGTCAAATAAGATACAATTTAAGCATTTTTATCAATTAACTAATTAATTTCATTTTCTCAATATTTGAGGTAAGGAACAAGATTTTGAAAAACGGTTTTCACTGGCCTCTTTGGATGTTATTTGGCTACTTTTTCATAAAGAAATAGTCATATCATTCCATTGGGTTTTTTTTATTTTTTTAGGGTTTTGGGTCAAAACTAGCCCCCTGTTGGAGGATTCGACTAAATTAACTGTATTTTGGTTGATTCTCATTGCCCAAGGAATGCTCTTTTCAACCATACCATTGTTAAAATCGGTCAAACGGTTAAGAAGATAAAGCAGGTTATTGCAAAAACAATTGAACGCCCCACACCATATTTGTTTTTGAAATAACTTGAGTTTTTGTTTTTACGAAAATGATAGATAAACTGGTTCTCTTTGAAAATGTGAAAAAAGAATGTTTAGTTTATTATGCGAAATTTAAAGAAAATACCATTTTAAAATTTAAGATGGCAGTTATGCCCTCTGGTGGTCATTTTTAGAACTTGAAAATATTTTCCAACGATTCTTCATAACCGATTTACCCAATAATTCTTTTTACCCCTAAGTCATACGATGAACGGTTCCCGAGATATGGCCGAGGAACAGTCTTATTGGGTCATCCGGTACATAATCTCTAAATAAATTGAAATTAAAAATTGAAAAAAATTACAAGGGAAATTAAATTCTCAAGGGAGATAAGGGAGGTTTTCAATAGCTCTTTGTTGTTGTTTAACCGTTTTTTTAATAAAATTTCAAAGCACTCATTTCTTGCGTTTTTTTAATGCTGGTTTCTGGTTTTGATTTTTGAGTTGCGCAGTCGTTAATTCGTTGAAATCGGGTTATTACAATTGTGAAAAGAAATCTGCTCACCTAACACCTAGTGGAGGTTTCAAGTAGCGCCGTTCGATTGCAGATTCCAATGAGATCAATCTATCTTTTGCCAGCTCTACTAATTGACCCATGGGTAAATCGGGACTTTCTCTAGAAGGTAGTCTCCAACCTTTCACTTGCATGCTAGCGTTCGCCACCTTATCTTCTAGCGCTTCCACCTAGAAAGCAAATTGATAAAACACGAGGACAATGTAAACAATTTTACCTGTTCAAACAAGAATGTATCGACTCGGTGTGCGACAGATTGGCTCCAACAACCCGGTTCGTCGGGTTGTGGTGCATCTCCCGAAGTCATTTTGACCTCCTCATTGTTTAGGCCTAGTTCTGTCGCCTCCTTCTGACCTTCATCAATGTGCAGCTTCCCCTGATTCTCATACATACATTGCATTGTATTCAAGAAAGTTCTCTTGAGCTCACGTTCTCTAGCACCGCGCACGTGCAAGCTCTCTATCACGCCCTTTAGTGTTTCAGTATCCTTAATCCGCCACCAACCATAACGTTGTTCGGGTGGAATTTTCTTCCTGTCGCACGATTTAGGCAAACCGTGCTTCTTAATATACTCCATTTGGACGCTTTCCTCGGCCGTCATCTGCAAAGGTCCGGGACTATCACACGAGTTCATCAGGTACATGGAGGAGTTGCTCGGCGGCGGAAAGACAGGAATTTTCAATTCGGTCATATTTTCACGAGAGCACGCGCCGACGCCGGTATCCCATCGATTGCCCTGCGTTAAATGGGAACCTTCGCAAGTTACGCAGTCTTTAGATAAAATACTGAACCACTTCGCTTCCATTTCGGATTTAATATCGTCAGCCTCCTGCTTGTAATCGATTTTATCCGACTTTAACTCATTTAAAATCTCATTTTTAAGTTCCTCCTTAACTTCCGCTTTTACCTCAAGTTTCAACTCCTCCTCGGTTTTGTTCTCGCGTTCCATGCACTCACCCAGTTTCTCAAAGATGTTAAACTTTTTGATCGAGTGTTGCTGCTCGTCTTCCGAACCAAATTTGCTTTTCTCTAAATGGTTTTGAGATTCCTGTTTGTGGTTATTTAAATCTAGATTGTAAGAAGGTCTCACGTTATCACAAAAATTAGTACCGCAATTTTTACCCTGGTTAAAATCAACGTTTCTATCTAAACTTTGTACAATTTTTTCTACACTTTTCCTTAGTTCATCTAAGCTTTGCTCGCACGAATCCGTCACGTCCCCATTCTCGACGACATTTAACCTATTCGGAGTTTTCCTATGTTCATTTTGGTTCGGTTTCTCCACATTTTCGCTAAACACCTCTGTATCGGACTGTTCGCCCACAATGTTACACACTTCTTTGTCCTCGTCGTGCACATCGTGATCCTCCGTCACGACGCTCTTAATGTCTTCGATGCTGGTAATCTGGTTTTCTGGGGTTGCGTCGTATATCTCTTGTTGTTTTAGCACCTCCGGATCGCTCGATTCGATTGCCTCAACGTAAACGCCTCCCCCCTTCGGTAATGACCAATATCGCCTCCAGTAGCGATCTTGACCGTAGCAAGTCGCACGTAACTGATGTGAGGCGTGGTTCAAGCATTGAAGTTGAGTTTCGGATTGTTTCACAAATTTCTCCAACTTCTTTCCCAACTCTTCTCCCGATAGTTTGTTGTCTTCTTCCTAATTTTGGAATTTAGATATTTTTTAAAAAAAAAGAGGGATAAAAAAAAATTAATGGTCAAACTCGAAATATACAGGGTGTTTTTTTGGGAGCTTTAGTTAAAAGTTTCTGAGAAAGTAAAATACGTAGGTGTTTGAAAATTTGTACTTAGGAGTTACCCTGAAGGCCGAATCTATGTAAAATATTTTCAAAATGGCCGCACTTCCGGAAACACCGGAAGTAGATAGTAACTTCGTTATTTTAAATGGCAACCCCTATTTTGTTATTGCATTTTTGGATTCTACGTGAAATTTCACTTCTTTTGATACCCATATGTCGATATCTACCATTTATGGTTTTTAAGTTATTTTGACTTTAAGAAAAAAAATGGCGGATGCAGATGGTATCTTGATAATTGATTACTTGAAAACGGTTGTAGTCATGGCAACCTATTTTTATCTGTGCATAGAGAATGAATAGGGCTTTCTTTTAGTGCACTTAAAAAAGAGTTAAGTTGCGTACGACCGCACCTATGGATATCCAAATTTATGAAACTTCAAAGACTAAAAACTCAGTTTTTTTTATGGAATGACCATGTTCTTACTATTCCATGAGATATAGAATCGAAATGGGCATATTTTGACAATACATGTTCCTATAGCTATCTTTAACAGTTTCTGACTTATTCCCATTTTATTGAATTGACACTATTTTTTTCGAATTTTCTTTTTAGTAGTCGGCCATGATTCTATAACAATTGAATTTTAAACAAATCTAGTGACACTAATCAATCACCCACTGTTATAGGTTAACATAAGTTTTTCAAAAATCGAAAAATGACTAGCAGTGGTTTCACCTATTTTTGAATTTAATTGTTATTTATGGTGAAATGGGCAGAATCGCGGCGAGTGCTTTCCGTACATTCATTCGAAAACTGGAACGAAATTGTATGAATTTTGGAAATTTTGTACCCCTAATGCACTACAAACCGTTGAAGCACAAGTGATACAAAGCTCTACAAGAGAATATTTAAGAAAATGAATTGAATTGCAAATGCAAGATTAACAAAATAAATTCAATGCAAAATATAAAAAACTTCGTTGAAACATTTTTGGTATGGAATTGTTGCTAGAACAGATATCGCATTACCTCTCTTAATTTCCAGACTTATACGTTGTTTAAGAAATTCAGTTGAACGACTCTGTTTAGATTTTTCAAAAATTTTCCGTCCTATATCCTTAATAAATGAGTTATTTATTAATGAATTATTTAGACTAGAACTAGAATCAATGGTATTAAAGAATCCATTCCTTGATTTGTTTAAAATTCGATTGTTATAAAATCATGGCCAACTACTAAAAAGAAAATCGCATCAATTCCGAGATCAATTCAATGAAATGGGAATAAATCAAAAACTGTTAAAGATACCTATAGGAACATGTAATATCAAAATATGCCAATTTCATAAATTTGAATCTCCATAGGTGCGGTTGTACGCAAGTACACTAAAAGAAAGCCCTATTCATTCTCTATGCACTGATAAAAATAGGTTGCCATGACTATAACCTTTTTCAAGTAATCAATTAAGGTACCATCTGCATCCGCCATTTTTTTTCTTAAAGTCAAAATAGCTTAAAAACCATAAATGGCAGATATCGACATATGGGTATCAAAAGAACTGAAATTTCACGTAGAATCCAAAAATGCAATAAAAAATAGGGGTTGCCATTTAAAATAACGGAATTACTATCTACTTCCGGTGTTTCCGGAAGTGCGGGCATTTGGAAATATTTTACTTTCCCAGAAACGTTTAACTAAAGCTCCCAAAAAAACACCCTGTATATTACACGCTTAATCGGTTAACCAGTTACCTGAAATTAAATGGTTTATCCGTGGTTAACCGGTTATTTGCGACAAGTGGGTACTACTAGTTCATATACATATTTTATTTTTATTTAGTTTAAAAATTTTTCTATACAGGGTGTTTCAGTACGATCGCCATTTAGAATTTTTGAAATGGCAACAGAGGTAATGTGATTCGTCATTATAAAACTTTTTTCCCATCTCTTACTACCTTAATCATGAAAGGTGTTAAACTAGCCCCCTCAGTATTGGACCTTGTCATGGTTGTGGGGCTTGAGTGGTTCACTGATCAAGGGAGGCTCCACCCAGGTACAACCTCTAGTCGTTTAATCAGTCATAGTTACTTTTGATTGACTTTTCGATACACTGACGCACACTGCTGGTAACAAAAGTACTTCTTAGATTCCTTCAAAACTAATTTCCCCCTGTATTATGCAAGTTTGGAAATAAAAAAGAAATGTCTTCATTACCCCAATTTTGAGGGCGACTGCCATCTTGAACTTTGTTTAAATAAACAAAATGGATTATTTAAATTTCTTTTCCATTCCGAAAATCAATATCTCGAACCTTGTTTCTTTAGTGTAGATCAGATACAAAAACTGTTTCAACATTTTCCAAAAAAGGGTTAAATGTTTACATCACTAGAAAAATTCAAGATGGCGGACGCCCTGAAAATTTAGTAATGAAGAAAAATCTTTCTCTTTCTGAAACATGCATACAATGTCTCATTGAAGTCCTCCAAACGTGCAATCAATACCTACCTCAAAACCGTTTCGGCAGGAGAGCCTTGTCCCATTACTTTCTAGCCACCCTGTATAGACTTGCACATGCTAATTTAACGCCATACATGCAAGAGAAACAATAAGCTTTATAATGACCTATGTTGCCGTTTAAAAAAATTCAAGATGGCGGTCGCAAACAACAATTCTTAAAGTCACTAAATATAGAAAGTACCGCAATCATCCGCCATTTTTGGGCAAATTTGCTGGCAACTTAAAAAAATTGACACATAAAATCTGAATAGCTGTAATTTTTTATAACCTAACTTCATAGTACTGTCATGTTTTATAAAAATATATACAGATATCTCCAAACAGGTGGAACAATCCCTAACATTAAAGTTACTAGAATCTGGTAACTTCCGCCATTTTTGGGCAAAAATCATGCGTTCTCTCTCTAACACACGAGCCCAATGGATTGCGGTACTTTCTATATTTAGTGACTTTAATAATTCTGCAACTTCAAAATATGTAAAATAATTTCAAATGGAAGCGTTCTAATTATCATGTCTATATCTGAAACGATTTGGGTGTGAGAGCTATGGTTCCATCTTTAATAGTATAAATAGCTATACCCACCTCCTCAGGCTGAGTGCCGAGACTTTCATTTTCGCTTATCTCATTTTCTTCATCGTCCAACAGCTCGTCCTTATGCGGTACGGGAAAATCGATAACACTTTCCGCCGTCTCCATTCCGTCCACTTTCACTTGAACTTTCTCTGCATTTTCGGAACGCACCTTACGATTGTGCAACGTTCGCAATCTAAAACGCGAGGTTACTTGCGTGTTATACCTTCGTACGCGTCCCCTTACTTTCTGATTTTAGCATCCATGATCCACCTTTCCTTCTTGAGCTGTGTGACACCTTCTAGGGATGCGTCGATTTGACGAATGACTGCTTTGTTTTGTAAAAGTTCATTGCAGATGAATGCCAACATGGCCGCCTTATCCGTGGGAGATAGGGCCAAAAATGGTTTATCCTGAAAGCTCACGTTGAGAAACTAAGTGTACAAATTTTTGGGGCGTACCTTTAACATATCCGACATTTTCCATGTATCGTTATCGTGCAATAATTCGTAGTAAGTGACATTTTTGCCGCACTGCATTGTTTGCATCATTTCACAACCGTTTTGGTGGTGATCTGCAACTCGTCTTTCACGTTCTCTTTCAAAATGAACACCTACATAAAAAAAGTAAGTTATTTACGAATAAATACAAAGTTGGTTTATTTGACTTGAATTTGTTTTTCCTTTTAGAAATTTGTTAGGTGCGTAATTTTATCGCTTTTGTAATTTACTCAATTTAGATAAGGTGATAGAAGTGAAACACATCTGATCGTTTGCAATAAGACGTTTTACTGTTAGGCGAAATTTAATTAACGCACGTGTTCTTTCGCTGATAAGGAGATGCAGATGTTACGAAAAATCGTGTGGGGAAGGAGGGGGGGTCGTTTTAGTGCGTTCCGTTGTGATTGGCGATTTATTTAGAAATTAGCCGAAAGAATTCTATCCAATATCTCCAGAAAGGGTCTACAACTGTTGTTTTAAGAAAGCTCTGGAAACAGCACAAAAATTCTCGTAAAAGGTCTAGAAAGTTCTTAAATGCTCAAAAAATCGTCTGAAAATCTCTGGGAAGGTAAGGTCTGAAGGCCTAAGTAGTTGTGGAGGTGACATTAATTGGGAGCCGCCAAAGGAAGACACATTAACACAAAATGGAGGAGGTTTTAAATCAGTTTGAGAATGTAAGTGCCTAGCTGTCTTTTTGATTAGGGGCTTAGCTTAGATCATATTGTGAAAAATGAAACAGTGGAAATACTAACCCGTTAATGCTTTGACTTCACCAGTGGCATTGGCATACAGATAAATCCTAAGTATTTCAGACAAATTGGCGTGTGTGATGTCCGCTTGCCTCAATGTTTGCCCGAGACTAGTAGTGTGCCTTGCAGGATTTGGTATACCAGGATCTTCAATCGCGCAAACAAGTAAATGAGTCATAACCGACAGTAATTCTTCTTCCGCTTCGCTCATTTGCGAGTCATTGTACAATAGCGCTTGTTGTAACGAGTCAAGAGTGGGAAGCGACTCCATGTCAAACCCGAGAGTTTCTCCAAAGTTGTGCAAAAATTCGAACACCATCAAGACGTCGGCGAACGCCTTTCCGGAAAGTCTCAATCCCGGAATTCTCTGATATTCTGGCAAGGGCTTTTGATCTAATTCTAAATCCTCGCATGGCTTTCGGAGCTCGGTCAGAATTTCTAATTCGATACGTCTTTGCTCTAGTTTCTTTTCCTTGCTAGCTTGTTTTTCGGCAAACGCTTGCTGTTTTTTGCGTTCTCTTTCTTCCAACTTTCTGCGATTCTCCAACGCTTTGACGAGGGCTATGTGTTGCCTTCGACGTTCCCTTTCCTAAACAAAGAGAATTTCATTACAAAAGAATAATGAACACAAATCCCAAAAACAAAACCACATCGGTTCTTGGGTTGTTTGAGATTTGTTTGATGGATTAGTTATTCCGTCATGCAATTTTATATTAGAAATAAACATTAGAAGCAAATGTTCTGAATTTCTCGATTCGGTCATTAGTTGTTAGTAGAGCCTTTGGTCTTAATCCTAAAACTGAACGAGCAACAAACAATGCATAACACACAAAAGCGACATAAAATAGAATGCAAAAAGGTTGCAATGAAAATAGGGTGAGCAGAGTAGAAGAGCCATACCAGTTCGACAGTGTAGAGCATTTCTCGTTGTTTACTGATCTCCTGTATGTACATCTAAGAATAGAAACAGCCTTACAGTATGTACACAAGCAAACAAGTGACAATACAAATTTAATACACAAACTTAATCAAACTACAAGGACCAACTACCTACAATTTGATACTTTCGAAAAATTCAAAATGCTATTTCTCTACCTCTTGGAAAATATTGGACTGTCAAATTTCCTTAAAGCAAAATATTTTGGCTGTCACTTGCTGGGAGACAATTGTGCGAAAAGTTAGCACAATGGAAAGAATATTTGTTCTTTCCACCATATTGTTAATTCTTCAATCAAATCGACAAGAAGAGAGAGCGAGTTAAAAACAAATCGCTTTCTAAGCATGCCAGTTACAATACATGTCTCTGTCATGAATTTGGCAACATTGTCATTTTATATTAGCTTTGTTGTAGGTATCATTTCTTAAGACAGATTTCGTTTTATTTGATACCCCAGACCTCCAGATATTTGCATTAACTGAATCAAAATGTTGGAAATGCTTATGTCAAGCTTTTTTCAAAGCAAAATGTCCTAATGGAGCTGATGCAGTGAATACACGATTATTATCATTATATTATTATTATAAATGCCGCAGATTCAACTTTTTCAAATTACTAAGTTTCGGATAACCTGGTAAAATTAGACAGAAAGATATCAAATAGCTCTGGCCCATCAAAACATTTTTAAAAATCTTTGTAAAAACATCAATAGATATTTTTAACAGAATTGTTCCTGGAAGTTTCTTAAAATTACATTCTTTTTTTCTTTGCATGTTTCGATTCACACTTCAAATGTTTGCTTTTTTCTCTTTATTTCATTGTTCTTATGTTTTCTTCATAAACATCTCCCATTTTTGTCGATTTTGGTATATGTGGGCGCATAATCCCCTTGTTTTTTTGTTTGGGCCCATGGACACAATTTGCCATTTTTGTGCCATTTAAACGCCTAATTTGACCCTTTCTTGGTGTAGAAAATTTAAATCTTAAAATTAAGGAACTTAACTACCCTAGTTGTGCTGATTGTGTGCGCATAGTGCCATAATTTGCTAACTTTGTGCCATTTGAGCTCCCTGTTCGATCATTTTTTCGTGTAGAAAAGGTAGATTTTAAAATCTCCCTTGCGCCCACTGAAAATTTTTCATTATTTGTGCATTTTGGGCGCATAATAACCTCATTTTTCTTAGTAATGTTTTCAACACTAATGGACTTAACCACCCCAGTTGTGCTATTTGTTTGCGTTCATTGCCACAATTGGCAATTTTGTGCCATTTGACCCTTTTTGTTTAGAAAATGTATCTAAATTTGACAATCCAAGATTACTGCTAATGTTTGCGCCCACTGGGACGTTTACATTGTGAGTTTTGGGCGCATAAATCCTACCTTTTGAGTAGCACATGTTAACCTTTCAACATTAAGGCACTTAACTACCCCATTTGTGTTGGATGTTTGCGCCAATTGTCACAATTTCCCAATTTTGTGTCGCTTAAGCGCTCAACTTTACCCTTAATTCGTGTACGACTGGTCAATACCAAAATTTGCGCAGGCGAGGCGTCGAAGTACTAAATATAGGATTATTATTTTTATGATTGCCAGTAGAATACCAACACCTTTAGGAAAGATCTTTAGAAGTAAATATTCTTAGGAAACCTCAAAATAAACCCAGAAATTCATATGGAAACCTTAAAAACTCAATAGAATTCATACAAATATATTTTGAAACCTTGGGAAAACCCCTAGAACTTCTTTCTAACTTTCTTAGAAATACTCCTATAAATAAGTATAAAAAGATTTTTGGAAAAAATATCCTAACACGCCTTGTATATTCCCACTTGTTGTGTGGCACAAGAGCCGCCGAAGTTGGAATTAAGCATGCATATGCGCATTTTTCGAACAACAATCAAACAAGAATACAAGATGACATACAATCTCCATCAATAATGAGCGTGTTTGTTAAAAGGCAGCATGCCATTTTCGTCAAACTTATTTATACAACGCTCTGAAAGCTTTCATCGCCTTTGTCGTTTAATTAACCAGTCAGTAATCTTCGTTATCGCTACCAGAAAAAAAGTGACCAAAGCCGCCATGGTTTGTGTGAACCTTTCACTCATATTCCTTTTGTAATTATTCCAATTTCAAATACCAAATCATGATTAGGAATCACTTTACCGTATTTGACTCAATAAACACATTAATCATTAATGTCGATATTCTTTTAACATCCCTCTTATACAAAAGCATTGCAAGCAATTATATTCATACAGTCCATAAAAGCTTCATTTGTACACGCAACAGGAACAATACATACAAATTACAGATTTCTGCAGCAGATTTAAAGGCATGCCTGTGCTGTGTTGCCAGTATTCAAAATGAGTATTTTCATGCTCGTATAAAAGACATTGGCGAAGACACTTTACCATGGTAACAAAGCATTCTGCATAATCTCAAATCCCGCTATAGGATTCTGTATTTTGTTAGTACTGAATTGTGTCAATAGAAAGAGTACACTTGTGTGGAGAGAGAAGTAGATTCGCATATCTTTTCCCGAATAGCGTTAAGAGCAGGATATAGGTAATAGGCAATTAGTTGTCGAGCCCTCCTATCCTGGAGTATTTTTTCTGGGGGGTATTGGCTCCTCGGTACCACGTTCTTCTCCAAAAACAATTATATACCATAAGCCTCTTTATTGCTGGGCGCTCTTGTGGAGATTGCAGTACAGGGGGGTCTGGGGGTATAATGAGAGAAATAGATTCGCATATCTTTTTCAGAATACCGCTAAGAGAAGGACTGAGGTAATAGAGAATTAATTCTCGAGCCCTGGAGCAACATCTAATACATAAATGCATAAGAGTAATTTTAGTTTTGAAAGGTACATGTTTATACTACTGCTCAATGGAGGGCGCTTTTAAGTGTACCTAAATGTGTTACCCAAAAAATACATAAGGTTAGCACTCTATTGCTTGCGTATATCTGTGGTAAAACCGAGGCTCTCCCATCCAGGGCCATTGGCAGTACGAGGTTCGCTGGGTCCGCTAGTAATTTATAAAAAAAGAACATAAGTTGAATCTCTTTATATTTAGTACTCTGCTAAAAATATGACTATTTGGTTAATCCAGAGTATTTGCAAAAAGTTTCTGAATAAACCTGGTATCTGTGGAATATCCATTATTTATACTGCATCAGTTCAAATAATCACTGCATTTATCGTAACAATTGACGCCTTTATTCTCCTTGTCTATAGATCAAATGGTATAACTAATCTAACCACTTAAAGCAAGAAATTCAACTTTATCTTCTTACTTGGAAGGAATCTCACCAACACACGAATAAACATAAGTACAATCTTCGCATGCTCATCTCAATTCACTTGCAATAATTTAGAAAATTGAGCTTGAGTACCTATTTCTGGGCAATTGTTTTAGACATTCCAAGATCTAATCAGAAAAGCAAATTGATTCGTATAACACCTCACTATACACAAAAGACATAAATAACAACCAATTAATTACAGGCATTCGAAATGGTAGTGGATCAATGAACATAAACGTGATATAAATTATTCTACGTGGCACACAATATTGCCTAAACTAACACAGTAAGCAAACAAGTGAACAAAAAACCTGCTGAAGAACGACTTACCTGCTCCTTTAGTAACGCGGTGTGTTGTCGTTTCATCTCTCTTTCCTGAAACAAAACTTGAATTAGCTATTTACTTTTAAAGCGATCGCAACAAACATAGGAGTATTATGCAGACACCCAAAAGCAACATCAACATTAAGTCAACCCCCATAGCATACTGAAATATACTTACGCAATAATAAGGAAACATTCTGTGACAAGTCATTTTTAAGTCTTATGCTCTCATAAAAAATTGATTTTTTGGTTGTAACTTTTGATGCAGCTGTTGGATCGTCACAAATGTAACATTTGATGATTCTACATCCCAAAATCGAGCCCCGAATGATTTTAGGTTTTTGTAGTGTAGGTTGCAGTGAAACAAACTTGTTAGACCAAAAGGCAGTGACCTCCCCCCCCTACAGCGGTTGGAATATATATTTAAAGAGGATTATATATAATTATAAATATATGTAATAAGCGTTGACTCTCTGCCTAACTTATCAATCGCCACAAGAGCGTTTAAATATCTATTCCTACCGCGCGGGGGGGGGGGGGGGGGAGTGAGTGAAGTGAGACAATTTTTTTTGCAAACGTATATTAGAAAGCGCTACAATCTCACAGTGATTCAAATATCATCACTAGCAAGGGTTGCAAGTTTCAGAAGATATTTTCTCATAAAACTCTTAATTATAGAGACAAAGTATAACATATGGTTAAAACGCTCTATATCTTTTTTAATAAATATTTACTACAATTTCTGATAATGATATTTTTTTCTAAAGTGAACCATTAAAAAGATATGATTGAAAAAATTAGAAACCAACCAAATTTCAAGGGTTTTGGGGGTGGTACGGGGGAAGCACAACGGGTAGGAGGTCGAAAACTTAGATTCTTAACCACCAGAAGACTGTCTATGACATGCAAAAGGAATCGGAACTACTTCTCATTTTGCAAGTTAAAACCCTCTATTCCCTGGACTATAATTATAACACATTTATTAACCTACAAGGTCACCAAGGATAAAGTGTACCCATTGCAATTTCATCATCACCAAACATAAATCCAGTCTTAAGGAGCACATCTAACATTTGTTAAATCATGGACTTGCGAAGGATTTAAAATGTGACCGGTGTGATTTTGTTATCAAGTGCAAATCTAATTTAAAATACATTTGTTAGTGCATAAAACAGGTAAGAATGTCAAATGCGTCTGATAAATTACAACACCAAAAACCTCTTTATGTTCTCAGGAAATAACACGCCACACGCCAGTGAAATGCTGGAGATGTCAACTCAGTGCGGCATACTACTGTTCACCATCTCTCTCACATATGTTGGCACAGATTTAGTGACTATAGGCTATGGAATATACAATATGATCCAAGGTGGGGGGTGGATTAATTTTGCTATCAGAGTAATATGTATAGCGTTCTGTCAACAATCAGGAGGGATATAAATGTTATGATAAAATCAGGGGTCAAACGATACGAATACAGAATTTTTTTATTACTGATATTTTGACCAAAACGAATATTATTTCTTACCCTTCTTAAAATTTTAGGGTACTCTATCGTAGAGGTGACTTTGGGACAAAGAATTTACTCTGTGAATTTTCATGACTTTCATAATAACAACATAAAATTGGTCGCTGGCTGTTTGTCTATGTGGAATGTGTAGGAGGGGAATAGAGCAATAGTGTGTTCCACGACATTCAAGGTATGTCGTACGTGATAGTTCAACATACCTAAACTAATGTTTTTTATGAGATGGTGTGGAGGTTTAATCTGTAATCATTTCTTGAAACCTTATAGTTTTTTATGAGTCAAATTTGACAAAAGAGTTGTTTCGATTTTGTGTCCTTTTTTGTCGTTTTAACTTTAGATGATCTTAGGTTTTTCTTATACATATTGCTCTTTCATGTCATGCTGACATTATAATTTAACTTTCCACTTTACAATCTAGTACAGTACATGAAACTTTTGTTCATGAACGAAAAAACCCCTTGTCTGTTTCTTTAAAAAAAAATGGTGAACAAATGAATGAACCAGAAAACTAAAACAGCACTCTACTACATCATTTTTGTGCATCTACTAAACACATTAAAAAAATCTTACCTGCAATTTTCTTTGTTGTTCTTCGTGTCTATGCTTTTCCAATTCTTCTTGTCGTTTACGTCTAGCCTGCCATGCAACATCACAACAACACATAACATTAAACATTATTAAAAAATTATATTTCCACACATACAAAGGTAAAAGTTGCAAAATTTTGACAACATGCGTATTGGGCATATAAAATCATGCTACTGACACATGCAGCTCTGGAAGCAGGACGACATAAATAATATATACAATTTTCGACAGTCTATTACAACATTTATGATGTTGGGGGAAGGTAAGATCTTTGTGATGCCAATTCAATTGTTATTATGAGAGAGATATTTTAAGTAGGTACGTGTTGAAAACATTTTATAAAGTGCAACTACTGGTGCATTACTTTGGGAGGATCACAAGTGTTCAAAAAGGTGTTTGTTATTGTGCTTAGGCAAATTTGGTTTACTACTTGATAAGAGTTTTTGTCCGTTTTATTTTGTAGTACCTTGGTTGAGATTGCAGTGTATCTCAGCTGTTTATAAAGACAGCAACTTGCTGCTTTTGCAACCCTGTGCCACTGTTTTGTGAAACTGTTAATACGACAAACAGAATCAACCTAGCTACATTTGTTTCTGATATACAGGGTGAAAACGAAAAGTTTCACTTTTTGGATTTTATTATATACTACACATGTACCTAAGATAGTGATTATTTTAGTTTTGAATAGGCCATGGATTCATAGAGGTTTTCTTTTGTTTATTGTCTCCATGACAACTAAGGCCGTCGATACCAATCAATAAAAATGGCGGACGATCATTTCAAAAATTTGAAAATACAAAAAAATATATTTTGTGATACATTAATGTAATCAGGGAAAACTGCAAAAAATTGATGATATGCAGGGTGTTGCATTTAAAAAATAGCAACTTTAGGTCAAATCTCAGAAACGCTGGTGTAAACATTTTTTTGACTACGTCACTGGAATCTACCTAAAAATATTTAAAACTATCTCTATCTCTTAAAACAACTGAAATACACTGTCTCAACTAAAATAGGACGCAAAGTACATGATAGTTTTAAAATGATGATTGGTGGCAGCTTACTGATGGAAAGTCATCATGCTTATATGGTATTGCAGTCATATGACAAAACAAGTTTGCTTGTTAAAACTTACTTCTAATAACTGTTGCGATCGCGCTTCCCTCTCTCGCCGAGCCGCCTCTTGTCTCTCCGACCTCTCCATTTCTCTTTGCAGCCTCGCCTGCTCCTTCTCCATTCTGGCCTGCGCACGCGCGGCCTGTTGCCTTCGCGCCACTTCTATTCGTTGTTCGACCGCTAAATTGGTACGCGTAACCGACTTCCATTCTTCCAATCTAAGATTAATCGTTACTTATCCTAAGGTGTATTCTACACAAACAACAATACCTGCGATTTACTTCATCCTCGGTTAGACGAATAAATTCGCTTCCCTCGGAAGATGTCCCAGACGGTACCACTTGCAGATAGTCGCCTAAAATGACTCTACTGCTAAAGGTAAAATTTTCTTTTGTAAGTTCGACATTATCTTGATAATCGAGATACTAGAAAAAAAGGCATAAGATACTGTTACGGTCTCCCACTAAAATACCTGTGTAATATCGGACATTTGTTTAAATTTATTTGACGAATCTGGAGCGATGTAAATAACGTCGCCTCTAATGTTTCCATTTTTAGCCAACGCCTTGATCACAGTTTCACGTTTCCAACCTAACAAAACCAAAAAAAAAATGAGCGCACATCAAGCTTTGGGTAGTCTAGAAACTTTAGATTAAAAAAGCGCAGAAAATGGAATTAATTAGCAATTTTTTTCTTCTCAGAAGTCTTCTATCGGTAACACCATGGAAATAGCACTAAGAATTCAAGAATATTTCACAGATAGCTGCACAAAAATTCCTCCATGACGTAAACAAGGAATAGTGAAGGTAGGGCAGGTACCGAGTGTAGTCTAGCAAAAGATGCTATAAACTGTACCGACTCGTAGAGCCTAGGATAACGCAGCCATCTTAAAAAAATGGCAATCGTCCTGTTCCAGAATTTTTAGTATGTGAAATGGCATCATCAAAAGAAATTGCTAATTAATTCTAGTTCTTCTTACTAAAGTTGCTAGACTATTTGTTTATAACAGAAACCTTTTTCAAGAGGAACCCTTAGCGCCCGTTCATCAAAATGTTTCGACTTTTTCACTGTCATGGATGAATCGGTTTCCATTTCCGAATCGGTGTGATTTGAGTCTGTTAAATTATCTGAATCTGTGGAGGCGTCGACAGTACTCGAATTAGAATCGCTAAGCGCGCCTCTAAATTTTTCCTGCAAGAGCTTATTGAAAACTTTTTCGTCTCCTCCCGCCTCGACCATTAACTGCTGCGCCGCCAATATATTTGACTTCAACAAAGATATTTGTTGGTTCATCGAGGCGTTCGGATCTAAGACTTGCATTGGTTTAATTCCTATGGAAAACTGAAATATGAGCGACGGGCACAAAGAGGGAGGATCATTACCTAAAGCTCTACTTTGAGCCAAAAGGGACGCTACAGTATTTTTCTTAGGTTTACTAATTCCTCTACCGAGATTGCGAGGCCTTCCGTCTTTATGAATGGGCATTGGAAGTGATCCGATGGTACACGAACTAGTTGATGTTAGTGGATTTGACAGCGAATCATCGAGTCGGTTAGGCGACCTAGGCGAGTCGGCAGATGCAAACAACTGCTGTAGTGACGCACTCGGTGCTGCCGGAGGTAGGTGTGAAGGTTGAATTACTTTTCGTGGTTTAGGACCGGGCTTTCTTCTTGCTATGTAAAAAGCTTTCAATATGGACAGATTTCACATATCCCACTTACATATTCGATCGACTCCTAAATTTGCCGACATATTGCTAAGAGAGTTTAAAGAAGAACTTGTTAAATTCGTAGAGCACGGTTTCATTGATAAGTTTAGTGGAGCATCGCCGCTTATCCCTTCGACTAGACCGCCGCCGCTATTGCTAAAACCGCAGTTGTTCGGACTTCCGTTTGTCGGCGATAATTTAATAACTTCTACTCTGTCATTGGAAGTATTTAGTGAAGTAGGTGAATCGTGAGATTCCTGCTTTACTTAAAATTAGTAAATGTTCAGGCGCAAATCGAGGACTTACGCTAAGTTTGGAACGTTTCGCCGTCCTTTCCACGTGCAAACTTCCGCCCGAAAGCGTAGGATGGACACTGACAGATGGAGGATCGAGAGAAATCGTTTTCTTTCGTCCCCTATTTGTAGTTCCAGGTATTTTAGGACCGACAATTGATGAAGTATATTTTATTATTTCTGTGTCTGGAGGTAGACGAACTCCACCAAGTATTGTACTTGGGTCGCTGAAAAGTAATGAATCATTATATGACAGGAGGGAGACAATTGGAGCAGAGTTGTAAAAATTCAAGATGTGGACAAACTTTACTATAATATGCGTCTTCTTGCGCTGGAGAACAACACCCTGGAAACAGTGGCGCCATTCAAAACATTTGATTAGGTGGATAAATCCAGAACCAATATATTTTAGGGTGGACCAAAATTGACTCGATATATTTATGCAGGAGTATTAATGTTATATATAATGGAAGAGTGTGAGAATCAAACACAAGGTGAGATTTATCCTATGTTTATAATAAAGATTACACTAAAAAAAACTTTGTGTAGAACACTGAATATATCTTCAAAACAACATTTTTTAAAAGAAGCTTTTATGGTATCCAAAATTGTAAAAAGTTTGCTGCCAATCGGTGTACTTTAAATTTGTGGTCAGTGGCGTACTTTTGCATGGTCAAGGAGGGCCTATTTTTTAAATGCCAACTACTGATTTTCATTACATATTCTTAAAGTGTACACTTTTTGGATATAGCAGCATAAAACACTTATCAAATTTAAGAAAAAAGCTCAAATTAAGGAAAATAGTTTATTAATTTCATAATTTTACTAGTTTGATGTCATATTAAAAAAAGGTTCATTCTATCTCACGAAAAATAGTGCTTTCCATTAAAAAAGATGCTCTTTAGTTCTGTAGACGCACGTCGCTGTAAATAATTTTTATGCATGTAGATTTCCTTAAATTTTTTTACTGATTTTTCATACAATCCAAGTGCTTTCACATAACTAACAAGAGAATGACGCTTTTATCAACGCAAATTAGTGAATTTATTAAATTAATTAACACAACCATTTTTAATACAAGTGTTTACGCTGCTATACCCAAAAAAGTGTACAGTACAACCTCGTTAATCCGAATAGATTCAGACCACCGACCTTTCGGATTATCAAATTTTCGGATTATCGCGAAACTAGTGAAAATAATAAATTTGGACACAAACATTAAGAAATAAAAATTATTCTTTTCAACATCTTCAGGGGTGTCATCGTTGTTACGAGGAACGAAATTATTTCGGACTATTGCGATTTCGGACTAGCGTGTATTCGGATTATCGAGGTTGTACTGTACTCTTTAAAAATATGTAATGAAAGCTAGTGGTTGTCATTAAAAAAATAAACCCCCCTTGACCATGCAGACGCCACTGACCACAAATTTAAAGTGATAGCAAACTTTTTATAATAATTTTGAATACCATAAAAAAATTGTGTAGAGATGGCGCTTTACTGTTTTTGTGTAATCAAGAGTTTTTCGAAATCTGAGGTACCACCAGCCCCAATTATTTATTTTATTTTTGGTCTTTTTAATCAAGTGGGCGGAGATTCAGACAAAACTGCGCTACCCACTATGCACTTACAAATTACCATGCCCGAATCCGGATTCAAACCAGGGACCCTTAACACTGCGCCACACAGGCCGGTTTACCTCCAATTATCGAGACTAATATACTAGAAAATATTATCGTAAAGTTTGTCCATTCCTAATAATAAGGTATACTCAACTCCAGTCTTTACACGAAAGGGCGTTTATTGTAGCACAAATGAACATCTTACCTGTTTCCTTCCAAAGCAGCACTAAATTCAAAAAAATTAATTAATTAAAAATTCTAACAAAAATGAAGTTAAGGTAACACAAAATACACAGCTACGCGAGAAAATAAAGACCTATTGTGTAACTTGGATGGCGCCTTAATAGAATAAAAAATAACATTTTTTTTGCATAAATGAGGATGCAATTTTTAATAATCAAAAGCATTCCATTCTATTCCCAAATGGGCATATCCAACCTCCCCTTTTAATGACCAAAATAGACGTGCCCACCAGAATGGTACATTTTCTTCTTCCAATTTATGTTCTTATAAGTCATATCATCCGCCATTATACCTTAAAATTTCAAATAGGAAATGTATGGGTCTTAACGCAACCAATTTCTGCACAACTTCCCCTTCCCAGGGACATCACTGCTGATGCTAAATTGATCAATCAATCACAAATTTGAAATACATATAAGTTACGCTGAAGGGCTTACATTATCAGTCCATTTTCTACCCCTAAACTTTTTTTCTGTACGCCACTACTAGATTGTAAAACACGAATTTAATTTTCTGATTTGTTTAGAAACTTTTTGGTCTCTTGTAATTTTTCCGTATCTTTGACCATGACCGAGAAAAAAAATTAAGATCAATTTTCCGTAGATAGCTAAACAAAAGTAAAATTTTTACAATGGTCCAGTAGGCCTTGGCTTTATTTGGATAGTATCTTTTTTTTTATTAGTTTTGACAGTTGGCATTGAAAACTGATCTTGTGTTTGCATGTTTATAAATTAAAAGTAAAGTGTACAGGGTGGTCTAAATTGG